GATGAAGTAAAAAGTGAAACTAAAGTAAAATACCCATGTTCCATTGGTGAGGTTCTTCCCAGTCTTTTCATCATAAATTGTTTCCTCCAATAACCAGTAACCTATGCCCATTACAAAAGCTCCCTCTACTTGGCCAATGTCTAAAAATGGGTTTATACTGAAAAACAGCAAAATGAAATAAGTTAAAAACAACTTATTTTCAAGCAATATAGTGCAGATACGGTTTTATGTCTTTTTTAATCCGACAGATTTAAGGTCATGTTGCGTCTTTCAAGCTTAGTGGTGGAACATTCTATATTTGTTGACAGAAGCCATCTATTGTTACATATTGTTTTACACCACTATAATCAACTCACATATTTCTTAAGATATTTCGTCATGTTATACAAGCGTAATTACTTGTGAATGCTTAAACATGAGTTTTTCAAAAGTTCGAATTATTATACATCCAAGTTGTATTTTTCGCGAAGAGTCTGAAGAAAATTACTCTTACAAGTGGTAAATTCTTCGAAGGCATTGGCCTTTCGTTTAGTTTGATAAATCAACAGACTGGAATTGTTATTTTGCTGATGTTTTTTTTTTCTTTTAAATCAAAGTATATTATTACTGAATGTTATTGATAAAAGTGTCTTGGTGGCCTTGAATCGTTGACAAGAGGTTTTCAGCGCGAACCGAGTAAGTAATACATTCACTTCTTCTGATAGAGTCAAGACTTAGGCCTATTGATATCTAAAGTATCAGCATACCTGTATAACAACAATGAGGTATAATGGCAATAGCCTGCATGTAAATGTTTGCAATTATATTTTCCTCTATTACAAGTGAACGCATATCGCAAAAGATAAAGATACGATTTATTTTACACTTTCAGAGCATGTATAAAACGAGATTAAAACCTACTATTGACAACTTTAAAAAAATCAAAATCTTAAGGAAGAAATTCAAAAACATAATTATAATAAAGTCATAAGTTCATGTGTGACTACATAACAGACGTTTAAGCTATTTCTAAAAAAAAAATTTTTTTTGACTAAAAGCAGGTAAATTCATCTAAACTACAATAACCTGAGTGACTTTAACATAACTACATGTATTCACAGTCCTAAACATCAAATATATTTTAGGTCTAGACCTTGTAGCGTAAGAAAATTATTTTAAGATGTCGATTTAAGGATATTTGTTACATATAGACATAGTTTTATACAAGTAAGCAAATTGAAAACTTTTTAATAAAATTCATTAAATTTTTGCATGATCTCAAACATGCCAAACCAAAATTAATATCACAGGAGCTTAAATCGCAAATAAACGGTGTTACACCTTTATGGAAATTTTAGTTATTTATCTCTTTCAGCTAAAACATCCTGTGAGTTTCGAGTACCAATATGTCATTATTGTTTATATCGTTAATTTGCGGTTGGTACGTGTTTATATACTTCAAACCATTTAAAATTATATTACAACTACAACGAAAGCCATCATAGCAAAAACACTTTATAATGAAAATATGTCAAAAGATAAGACAGCGCTTTTAAGCACAATCACTTTTAGTACATAGGGCCATCCATCTCTGCACCTACTTTATCATTTGAGACACATTGGTCAAAAATACAATATCAATATATATTATCAAATAAAATCTTTTTTAAATTTTCTATAATAAATAAGGTTAGTAAATCATATTTAAACATGAAAATATTATAAAATCCTGTATAATTTTAATAATCAATGATTTCAATATCACTGTTTTCTTTGAAATTTAAACAAGAGGGCCATGATGGCCCAAAGTCGCTCACCTGTATATAGGCCCCTGTAGCGGGGCCAGTTTAAATCCCAGGGCTCTTATTTAAACGAACATGGTAGACATCCATTAGAAAGGGGCCTCCGTGGCCGAGTGGTTAAAGTCGCTGACTTGAGATCACAGGTCCCTCACCACTGTGGGTTCGATCCTCACTCGGGTCGAAATCTTTCATTTGAGGAAGCCATCCAGCTGGCTTACGGAAGGTCGGTGGTTCTACCCAGGTGCCCGCTCGTGCCTGAAATAATGCCCGGAGGGGCACCTGGGGTCTTCCTCCACCAATAAAGCTGGAAAAAAAATCGACGAAAAATCTCGGCGGGACGCTCTAGGATGACCCGACTTGAGTGTACGGTCGCCCATATGGGCTTTCCGGCGGCGACCTTAAATAAACGCATTAAAAAAAATCCATTAGAACATGTTTCATGCTAAATATCTTAGCTCGAGCTCTTTGCATTCTTTAAAAGAAATTTTTTACTATATGCATATAGGGAAAATCAATGACCCCCTGGGGCGGAGCCAATTTTGACCCCAGGGCTTTTATTTGAACAACTTGGTAGATACCCATTAGAAGATGTTTCATGCTAAATATCTTAGCTCTAGCTCTTTGGGTTCTTTAAAAGAAGATTTTTTAAGTTTTTACTATATACATATAGGGAAAATCAATGACCCCCAGGGCGGGGCTGATTTTTATTCTAAGAACAAAATTTGAACAACTTTGGTTTTGGACTTATAGATAATACCATAGACCAAATATCAAAGCACTAGGCCATTTAGTTTCAGACCAGAAGATTTTTCAAGTTTTCACTATATGTATATAATGAAAATCAATGACCCCCCGAGGGCGGGGCCAATTTTGACCCGAGGGCCATTATTTGAACAATCTTGGTAGAGGTCTACCACACAATGTTTCATGCCAAATATCTTACCTGTAGCCTTTGCCAATTCAGAGAAGAAGATTTTTTTATGTTTCACTATATACATATTAGAAAAACCTATGACCCCCCGGGGCGGGGCCAATTTTGACACTAGGGACAAAATTTGTACAACTTTGGTATTGGACCTTCAGATGATACCAAAGACCAAATATCAAAGCTCTAGGCTATTTACTTTCAGACCAGAAGATTTTTCAAGTTTTCACTATATGTATGTAATGAAAATCAATGACCCCCGGGGCGGGGCCAATTTTGACCCTAGGGCCATTATTTGAACAATCTTGATAGAGGTCTACTACACAATGTTTCATGCCAAATATCTAATCTGTAGCCTTTGCCAAATCAGAGAAGAAGATTTTTTTAGATTTTACTATATACGTATAAGGAAAAACCTATGACCCCCCTGGGCGGGGCCAATTTTGACACTAGGGACAAAATTTGAACAACTTTGGTAGAGGACCCATAGATGATACCATATATCAAAAATCAAAGCTCTAGGCCATTTAGTTTCAGACCAGAAGATTTTTCAAGTTTTCACTATATGTATGTAATGAAAATCAATGACCCCCAGGGCGGGGCCAATTTTGACCCTAGGGCCATTATTTGAACAATCTTGATAGAGGTCTACTACACAATGTTTCATGCCAAATATCTAATCTGTAGCCTTTGCCAAATCAGAGAAGAAGATTTTTTTAGATTTACCTATAGACATATAAGGAAAAACCTATGACCCCCCCCCCCGGGGCGGAGCCAATTTTGACACTAGGGACAAAATTTGAACAACTTTGGTAGAGGACCCATAGATGATACCATATACAAAAAATCAAAGCTCTGGCCCATGTACTTTCAGACAAGAAGATTTTTTAATTTTGTGTTTTTTGAAATCCTTTTCTGGCCCTGTGACCTACATATGCAACAGACCGGAACCATTTGAACAACTTTGAAAGGGGACCACCCAAGGATCATTTTTGTAAAGTTTGGTTGATGTGCAGTCATTGGTTTCAGAGGAGATGTTGTTTATGTTAAAAGTTGACGACGCACGACGCACGACTCACGACGACGGACGACGGACACAGGGCGATCACAATAGCTCACCCTGAGCATTGCTCAGGTGAGCTAAAAATTATTTAAAGCTATTATCCCACACACGGTGGTTGGATATTATTGAAAATTAAATGTTATCAATACTTAAGATAAATCTTAGCTTTATAAATGTACATGGGACATAAATATGTTTCTTTATCTGAGAAAATCCAACTTATTGAAAATATTCATTTTCATCCTATAACTTTTAATTGTTGCGACGATATATTTTGTGTAAGGGTTAGTCCATATATAACAATGATTTACCAATCTGGTGTCTTCTAGGTATGTGCATTATAAAACATTTCTTCAGGCACGGAATAAAATTCAACAAAACTTGAATATTTTCAAAACCAATAACTAAATTATTTTTTTATAAACATGACCATTGAAATCAATAAACTTAAAGTACTTACATCTATATTTTTATATCAAGTGGTATGCTTAGTGGCAATTTTAAAAATATTCTGTTGATTAGACCGATAAGCTTCTGGGCTTAACAAGAGCGATCAGTAAATTAATCAGTATGATCAACTTTAAACTTATAGGTTTTTAGTGCATAATACCTAACTGGGGGTATCTTTATTGGTCACCTAAAATTACTTAACAACCTTAACATTAGAACAGCAGACATATTTGTCAATGGTTCACTACTATTAAAATCAAATCAAACAGTGTAATCTGCAGACTAAACAAGAACTAAGCATGGTAAAAATGGTCCTTACATGTCTTTTTCTTAACGTAACAACAAACTTTGAGTCCTACAAATTTTTAAACTATGATCAAAATCGACAAACAGTGCTGTGACCATGGTAATATCACGTGTATGAGTACAACGAAAGCAAAATTTTTAATGAATTGGTTCAGGTATTAGCTCATTTACATAAATACCATGTAGTTCTTTAAAATGAGTGCATGTCTTATTAGACAGTTATTATAACAATGTTAAGCAGTTGATTAATTGTAGTCTATAACGGACAAAGGTGAAGCAATGCTATAAAAATACCCATAGCTACTCTCCTAATGAATAGTTTTGTTAAAGGAAACAATGGATGAACGTCGCGTCAAAATTTAGTGTTCCATTTTGAAAGTAAGAGAGGAACTTTATGATGAATTTCTATGGTTTGATTTTATTGCGAAATCAGCAAATAAATTTCAATTTCAGTCCTCGCTGTAATGTTTGTGATGATATATGATGATTTGTTAAAGTCACACAGCCGGTGTCCTTTAAACATCACAATTTAGTTATTAAAAACAAAAGCCTAGCACTAATAATGTAGTTTAAGTAAGGTAACAAAGAGGGTGAGTGGTAAATTCGTTTGTCTTAACATTTTTCACAATTTTATCAAGTCGTTATGAATTATGACACTTCATCAAAAAGACTTTGTTTATATTTGTTGGAAAGCTTTTCATTCTTTTGGGAGAGCCTAATGTAATTGATCTGTAGTGAATAACTGAGTTAAAGGTAAAGAAAATTTACATTTGAATGATATTAACCTTTTTATTCTAAAAATGTTTATTAGAGGCATTTAAAAGTTACTGAGCATTGTCATGTGAATCTTTTTTATTCAATTTTAAAGAATATGACTGAAACATCCAAAACATAATTGTTTATGTGTGTACAAAATTTCATTGATTTACATTTTTAACCACCCTCGTATAACTGCGGTTTGTCTCTGAATACCAGAAACTATCGGTCTCTTAATAAATTACTACTGTTTACGCCGTAAACAATACATTAACTAGTTTGTCTCCACTAAAATGAACGAAGGGATAGTCTCATAATGTAAGCAAAATAAGGCGGGAAAATTCGTTCAGTGATTCTTGGATAACGAAAACTTGAGAAATGCCTTTTTGGCCAAAATGAAATTAAATTGCCATTTCAGAATAACATTTTAACATACATTCAAAATATTGAGTGGATAATTTGCTGCCGTGTTTATTCAGTACATGCCAAAACAATGATAAATTAAAAACACATAATCAATTGAATAATGTAAGGTTTTTCAGCGAAATGATAAAAATATAACAATCAACAAAGGCATCAGGAATGAGTTTGTTAATCAGATATTGATTTTATTTAGAGTTTAATTAGAGCTCTATTATAAAACTTAAAAGGTAAATATTTATGAGATTTGCGTACATATTTTGATAGAATAACGAAAACCTTTAATTGGCCAATCTTTATTTTTGAAATATAAGTGTATCGCTTTAGTAGCATCATAATTCTAAAATTAAATCAATTAAATATAAGCTATATTTTGCTTCGGAGAGATGAAGCGAAGCAAAACATTATTACGCCTTAAAGTATTTTATTTAACAAAGTAGTATAGAAGAATATTATATCTTGCATGAAATAATCTTTTGTTCAACACGGTAGCAAACCAATTGTCTACAATAATTATATACTTACACACCTTTTGTAATCCAATCTTCAATAATTCAGAACATATTCATTGGCTGTCTTATATTTGTCTTGTTTTTTTAATGTCTTTGACAAAGTTTACGAAACCAAATACTTCTGTTTTGGATATCATTATCTAATGAATAAAGTTAATTAAGTAAGTACAGTATTTTAAACATTTATGAATTGTTAACACTTTTGACTTGAAGTTCGAGTTCATAATTATTTTGATAATAAATGTCAATACATCAATAGCATTCTAATTTTTTGTTTGTATTTGTATATATTATTATGATAAATACTCAAAATAAATCAAATACTTATAAAAAAACACAATTGTTTAAATACAGTTGATTTATTATCAAACATTGCTTAACTAGAAATCTTGCCGAATGCAACAATTTTCTAAATTGTACGAATATCAGGAGAGAATATTGATAACAATAACTAGCAATTATTTAATATTATCTTGAAGGAATCAAAATTGTGGAAATAGTAATTTAATATATACTATCATATTTTTTTTTTTTTTTTTTTTTTTTTGGGGGGGGGGGGGCAGGGGACGGATTAAAAAAGCAACGGATAAAAAAAAGCAATTACCATAGTATTGCAACCCCAACTGATTAGAACCCAAGCAACATTCTAAAGGGCAATTGGCCATTGAATTATTCCATTGAATGACATGAATGAACTTAAATCTTTGGAGTTCTCAGTATGTCGGTATAATAGTAATGTGTTAAGTTTCCCTGCATAGTAAGGAAATGATGTCTATACAAGATCAAAAGATTTGATTTTCTCAGGATGAATATGTAAAACTAGTGTTTTAACTTTTCTCTTTTTAAAGTAAATTTGTTTGTTTGTTTCATTTTACGCCTTTCCCCAACGGTATTTCAGTCATATAGGCGGGTAGTTTCCTAACAATCGTTCCTGGAGAGTTACACCAGTACTAGACTACCTTCCTCCGCGCTCAACTACCAAAGCATGTCCCGGGGATCGAACCCACGCCAGAGAGGTAACTGAATTAGAAGTCATCGACTCTAACCCCTCGACCACGGAGGCGGTGTAAGTAAATTTGTTGGAAATGTTCCAAATGTTCCAAATTCTTTATTGGAGCATTTCCAAATTCTTTAAGTGATCGCAGGAAACAGTTTTTTGGAACAGACAAACAGACGGACTGACAGACACTTACTTAGACTGAGGATCAATCTTTAAACATCCCTGGTCGTTACCAGAGTATAAAATTTTTAAAAGCGAAATTCTTAAACTAAAAAGGAGACACTGCTCTTGAAATAAAGTAGCAAGACTTATGAACATTTTCATACATGATGTGAGTGTAACAAAGAAAAATAATCTTAAGTTTAAAGAAGATTACATTTATAGTGACAAAGAAGAAAAATAACAATTTTCAAATAATTATACAATATATTTTGAATTTGAAGTAAATTCAATTAAAATGAATAAGAATGAAGATTCAAGATTTAAGAAATAATCTTAACTGTTATGTGCGAATAATGATCTTTTTTTCAGTATTAATATTACCATATTTCTGCTGCGTTCGTAAAGCAGTACAGGCCAATTTTGGAATAATATTTTGACCTCATTTGGTAATTTAGTTATGTTTGTAATTTGTAAATTGCTTCCTTTTGGTTACTTCAAAATAATTTACTTTTAAATAAATTTTCAAAACTTTCATTAAAATTAGCATGAATCTTGAGAGGTAGTGCTTTAAACTTCTCACCTTGAACTTGACCATAAGAAAACTAATATGATTTAATCTAATTTTATCAATAGCTTATACAAATTCTCGCAATAGGTGATAAATATGGGTTGTGGAAATTCTAAGCCGGAAACTATTCATGATCCTGTTGTGAAACCCAACAGCCAAATAGATACAAATAAAACTTCAAACAAGAATCAAAACAGCGCGAAAGAGAAAAACGATTACCAATTAATAGATCAGCATGCAAGAAAGGTTGGTTCAGTTTCAATGTGATGCAATATATTCTAGTGATACATGTCAGTGAATTTTAACAGATTTAACCATTTAAATTATGTTTAAATGCTTGTGTTAAAATGCAAGCATTCTATATGTATGATCAACTCTTACACGATATTTCGTTTGTTTGTCTGGTTTGATGCCACTTTTCAAACATTGGTTACATCTTGGTGGTCGGTCAGTTTAGCAAGCTGTCCTTGTTAACTAACGAGTAATTACCAATTTCTCCGTAAGTGATTAATTACTTATTTCACATAGTTTCTAAATAAGCATTTAGAGACAAATGCCTATCCGAGACCAATTGTTAACGACAAATATCGCCTCGTCCGCAGATCGAACTAACAATCACTAATTAAAAAAATGTTGTTACTTTACATCATGTACTGCATGTTAAAATTGAACAAAATAACAAGTGTGTTAAAAATTGAACTAAAAACATATAAATATTTTTTTCCGTTTTAGTTAAATTCTGCCGTGTTGGGCTTTTTGAGGGGTTCTGCTTTTCTCTAATTTTTGGTTTAATATTTTCCCTGATTATTCTTTATACAGGCACCAAGCCGTTTGAAGAATTCTGCAGAAGAACTCGTAGCATATCTGTCATCAGTTTCAAAAGATCCAAGAATGCTGGCACGAGGGTTTTTTGTTTGGAGCTCCGAAAACATAAAGTAAAACAAAAATATTTGATAATGATATACTGTATTCTAAATGATTGTGTACCTAACCAAGGATAAAAAATATCAAATATTTTTAATCAAATTAATGTAAATGCGTTCAGAAAGAATGTCATATAGGAAGGTTCTTGTTCGTATAAAATTTCCCTATCCAGTTTCAGCATATGTATGGTGTGTTGAGTGATATTGAGAACTTAAAACCGATTCATAAGAACCACTTAGGGATAAATGATTCACATATGATTAAAATATTTTGGGATTATAATTACTTTTCTAAAGCAACATGCTTTTCATCGTTAGAATATCTATAACAAGTTGCAAGTTATGCTAGGTCAATGTCACGCAATGTATTCAACAGTTTGGGCATATTGACAACAATTCCAAAACACAATATTTCAATTATTTCTAATTAAAGAATCATTAGGATAAATTACTCTGATATCTGTTCTAGATATGATGTTGATGGTTTTTTCGGAAGAGCGGAGTCAGCTCCAAATGATGCGGAATCAGTGATGAAAAACGGCAAAAGTGTGTGCGAAGGCTATGCCTGTGTATTTGAATTGTTATGCAGGTGAGGTTAATGGAACTGTTACTACAAATCACAATTAAATAATTACAATTATGATGTATAAACAACAATATATTCTTCAACAAATAATGCAATGCTAAAAAGCTTAACTACTTAAGCTTTTATTATCATATGTATTTCTATATAGAAGAGTGCATTTAAAGTCTAGTCAATTGGTCACACAGAAATGTCAAAATTCTTCAATTAACGGGAACAGCATCAAACTTGGCAAAAATGCAAAGAAAAACACAAAAACATTTTTGGTATGATACCAATTTCAAATTATACTTAGATGGTTGCCATGACAGTCACTTGTAAAACTGCTACACTTTTAAGATAAAACGGAAATGACAAAAATTGAACCAAGCCTAACAACAACGAGATAGCATGTAAATAACACTAGCGTCAATGGTTAGCAAAAGGATTTGCCGTATAAATAGAGTTCAAATCCGAACCCGCAATGCAGGATGTTTACAAGCCTCATTTACACTTGTTGGACACATTTTGTACGCATCTAACAGAAAAGGAATGAGAATGAGGTTGTGATGACTGAAAAAGACTTCTCAAAGTTAAAAAAGCAGAAATTTGTCAAACCAATATTTTCAAAACCCATTGTTTCTGGTTAAAGACACATACATTTCTTTACTTCGGGCAATATGAAGCTTTTATGGAATGGTATGAACGAGTCATATCGAAGAACATCTACTAATGCTTCTAAATTTAAAACCTCACCATATGCACTTGTCATAGCCGTAATAAAACTTACTTACACAATACCAGACACCAGCAATTTAAATTTTGCCTTTTAAACCTTTTACCGCATGAGCATATTGTGAAAAATGGCCGATTTCATTGAAAAGCCTCCTGAAACAAGTTCAAACTGCTATAAAACTATTAAAATGATTCAATACTGGTGAAACTGTGTATTCTGTGTAGAATAGCTTAAGTACAATTTACCATAAATAAGTCAAAGTCCTTTGATTATTTTTACACCTTCAATCTTGAGGCATATTTTCACACCTATTCCGGCCGCGGAGACAATTACCGATCAAATTATATGACAGGTGTTCATTACCTGGCCGTTTGTTCTGAGCCTTTCTATGCCTTCAAATATCTGATAAATGTTCAAATTGTTTCCGATCAATTTGCCTGATTGTATTTGAAAATAAACACTGTTAAACGGTACGAATTAGTTTCATTTGACGGTGCCGCTTGATAATCAAAGGGGATATATTTACTGTAAGCTGGTATATCTATAAATTACAAACTTTGTAAGATCTTGGGTCATTGTACTGTATCTGTTGTCTTTACAAAAACTATTAAATGTTTTATTAAAAGAGGTTATGATCCTTCTATTTTAGACATACTGCATGCTTAGTGTTCAACCCTTTTACAGTTTGACGTTACGCTTTTCTCTTTTGAGTACATCTGACAACCAAGAGGGAGCCTCCATGATGGTTACTTCTTAAAGTCCTGTAGGACTGAATAGCCTTAATGTTCTTCTACTGCCTTGCTGCGTCGGGCCCTTGTAAGTGATTTTCTTGCTGCTCTGTCTTCCTTTAAGACATTGAGTAATTTAAATATTGTCATTGGGTTTTCTTATATCTGTTTCTATATGATCATTTCGGTATTTTGTATCTTAAGTTACCATAACAACTGTTAGAATTTCACTTGGCTGTGATTCATTTTATTTACACTGTCACGTTTATAGCAACATGGTAGGGCTTAGATAATGGTTTAGTGCATTGTTAACCGGTTTAAACCCGCCAGCAGAACTTGTGCTGCTGCCTGTTCCAAGGCGGCGCCCCTCTGTGTTCCTCAAATGTATTTTTAGTTGTTTCATATTGTTTTGGTGACACTTTTGTTTGTGTCCTTTGTTGCTTTCTCGTCTATGGTAAGTATCTTCCCTTTTGCCCTTAGGTTTATTTTTTAACTTAACCCTCCTGTTAACCATACTTCAAGTCCCCTTCCCTTCAGCCCATATGCCCTTTTAATTTGTGGGCCTATTAATCAATCAATTGCATTTTATTTCCTTATCGGTTATTATTATTTCCTTTCATGTATTATTGGGTGATTGTCCTGTCCGTGCTCTGCCTTGTGCCCTGTCCTGTTTTTGTTTGGGGTCCTCCTGGGCTCCAGGCTGCTGGTCCTTGTTGCTGGGTCGTGTAGGAGTTGAGTTCATTGAACGCTACCTTTCCTTGTTGTTCTTGTTTACTATAATGATAATCGCCCTTTCCTTTTGTAATGCCTTTTGTAACTCGCCTGTTAACGTTGACAGCTCTAAATTTTGTCATTAAATTGAGAAAAGTCCCGATGTGTCAAAGATTTAAGTCCTTTCAACTCCAACCTGCCTAAGTCATACTGTATGAATATTTACAGAAATTTAACTGGAATAATGCATTTAATAATTCATGAGTAAAATGAAGTTTAAACTTTAATTCAAAGAAATATACGTTGACCATGATGATACTGTATGTATAACCCAATTATATTTGTCTGTGTTACAAAAGTTAAGACCTAAAAAGCATTCAGCATACACGACACCACAATATCCTGCCGAACAAAAGCCTTTTAAGTACCAAAAGGGTACAGAATTGTTATAAATGTGGCATTTAGTAGTAAATAATATGAGGGAACTGCTTCATCAAAAGGACTAACTTAGAACAGTAGCTGATAGACGTTATATTTTAAAGGCAGCGTTAGTCAATGTAGCAGAACTTACACTTTATCATACTTTATGTATGTAGTCTGTTAATGTATTAAAATGTATTTAAAGAATGTCCAATTATTTCACCTTAAACTTAGAGTCGCGAAATTTTGTCAAACTAACATAATGATAATATTTCAAATAAACAGAATTTAGGTAACGAAGCTATATCAAAGTATAGATAAAAACATGTTTTTTATCTTTCGGCATCCTACAATCTATTGATTAATGATGTTATTTTTGTGAAAGTGAGTGTTTTTGTAATTGTAAATACTCGTTAATGTGGCAGCCTTCTTAATTATTCTCCACTACGTTGGAATTTTTATAGCGGTCTCGTGTGTACTTTTCGTATAAGTATTTGTACCAAATTTGGTGAGTTTCCCATTTCCTCAAATTCTTTTTCAAACATTTACTTGTCAATAGCACTTTTTAGCTCACAATCATCCAAGTGTACCGAATAACGTTCTGAGAAACAGTACAGATTAAATGATTTGAAATACTCAGTGATTCCTGAAAATCTGTACAGTTATCATTTAGTTTAAGTTAATTGATATCTATTTATTAAATTTAACATATAATATAAATCTTTTCAAAGCAAAGCTGGAATTCCTGTAAAGAAACTATCTGGATTTGCCAAAGGCTATGGCTATTCACCATCAAAACAACTGACTTTAAACACGGAAACAGATCATGCCTGGAATGCCGTCCAACTTGAAGGAAAATGGTACCTTTTAGACAGTACATGGGGTTCAGGTCACCTTGATAGTGAAACAAATGACTATGAAAAGAAGTTTGATGACTTCTACTTCCTTACTGATCCAAAGCAATTTGTTTCTGCTCATTTTCCATACATGGATGATAATTTACAAGAAAGTCAGAAATGGCAATTGTTATCTAAACCTTTAAGTCTGGAAGAGTTTAATAAAAACCTAGAATATAGTCCAGAGGCTTTCAAAATAGGAGTGCAGGCGGTAAGTCATACAATAGCATATTTTGAAATGAAAAATGAATTACAAATGACTTTCAAAAGCCATGAAAAAGAAGATATCAATTTCAGTTCCAGATTAATGTATAAAGAAGGTAACTGGTTAACAGAACAAAGAAATGCAACATTTGGCTATCAAGAAAATGATGTTTATAAGATATTAGTTCATCCACAAAAGCCGGGTATGTACCAGCTAAGCATATTTGGTAAACTTGCGTCGAATGATAGGAATGAAAACATACCACATGTATTGGAATACAGTTTCAAATGTACTGAAGTTACAGACAAAATCCATGAATACCCACTTGAATATAAAGCAGCGTCTGTTGAAAAATGCATTTTGCATGAGCCTCGCAGGGGTAACCTCCCTTCTAAAACTAAAATTCAGTTTCGTATCTCAGCACCCTATCTGCAAGTCATTCGGGTAATGGATACGTTACTTTTGAAGCAAGGCACTACCTTTACAGGCAAAGTTACAACACCAGAAAAAGGATATGATGTAACCATGTACGGTACAAGGGGAGATGAATACAGCAGGACGGAGGGCTTGTACAATTTCCATACAGTGTAACTTCAACATTACATAACATTTCTAAGATACAAAACATTTTAATGTGGGGAATGACTTTCTTTGCTATCACAGAAAATCTGAATTTCTGTGTGTTTATGAGACGTTCTAAAACCTAAAAAAATCCTGTTTTTTTTTTCGTTGGATTTAAAGCAATATGTGTTTGTTATACATGTAGTTTAATGCTTATCAATAAGTATTCAGAAGTATTGTTTACAGTCAAATATTATCACTCACTTCGTTGTCAGTAACATTGGTGCAATCGTTCAGTTCATATGCATCATGCCATAATTTGCGTTAAATGATGCATGTTAAAATGCGACCGTTTAATGATCTACATCTAGTAAAATTCTGAAGATCAGTTGAAATTTTTATAAGCTTAACACAAGAAGAAAAACGTTGTATACTTATGAGAATAAATAACGACGCTAATAAAACATATTCATTATCATATATCTCGCATAAACCTGGTGTATTTTAATACTGTTTCCATAGATACTATATATATTTGTATACTTATGTTTCAAAGCTACATTTTCCATGTCATTTCATCATTTTGCTTATATCTTTTTCATTTTTTTGTTTGCAATTATTCAACTTTGTTACACAAATATATAATTTAGACATAGGAAATTGACTCATTCATGAAATGTTTTAATATATTACTCCCTGTAGCCCGTGTTTAGTTCAATGCAATATTAGACATAATGCACCTAAGAAAGTAACGTTTGATTAGGCATAGATTCCAGTGATCCCTGAAAGTATTTATTATAGCTTCCGAGAAGAATATTACATGTATTAAAGATAACATTTCTAAAGTATATATTTTAGCTACTATGACCTACTTATGCATTTGACCGAAACCATTTACATATTTTTTATAGATGATTGTTCCTCATTCTTGTGTAGTTTGATCAAAATTCATTAAGTGGTTTAGGAGGACATATTTTTTAAAAGAAATTGTGGATAGTGATGGACATACACTGTCATTACTTTTGCTAACCTGTAAGGACAAAGTGCTCAGTTGAACTAAAACCATCACAATTTGTCAGGTAGATAGACTTTCAATGATCACCTTAAAGCTGCATGCCTCCAGATGAGCCAAAATATTTCAAGAAAATTAAACTTGAGAAAAACGTACTAAGATTTTAAGAAAAGTGAACAGATTAAAGATTTAACTGTTAATTTATATCTTATGTGCAATTAATGATTTTTTTTTTGCATTATTTATCACTATATTTTTACTGTGTTACTAATGCAGTAGATACTATTTTTGCTTATTTTTACTTCTTTATGGTAATTTACTCTGATTGTAAGTGCCGATTGCAATGTGTTTATAACTTTCTTTGTTCACTTCATAATATTTTACTTCGAAAAACATTTTCAAAATTTGCATGAAAATTAGCATTAACATGGAGGCGTGCTGCTTTAAATTATGCAAAGCCGCAATCTGAATCACTTATAAATTATAATATGTTATGAAGATTGAAATAACTTTCACATTTAATATATTCTCCCTCACTAGTTCATGTGACTGTTTATATAACTAGTTATCTTATCTCATGTTTTGTATGGTGATATTGTAAATATGCAAAACTGTGATGTATCTATGTAAGTATATTAAGGGGATGCAAATGCACCCAAAATGATCTTGCTAACAACTATTGCTCAATGACATTTTAACAAATATTTATAATATGGTATTTAAACTTATTCATCATGTATATTTAAAGTATGTTCAAAATATGACACTAAGTGAGTTTCATTATCAATTCTCACTAAAAAAATCAATGCTCAAATTTTACTTTGTCTTGGTTAATATAAATTCAACAAGGGTGCCATAGTCACAAAATACGCCCGTTTACGAAAGCTTTAGATGGAGATGGGGGCATTATGGATAAGTGTTATCTAGCAAGCAAGTTTTTATCCTTGGCACTGTGTTGTTAAATGAACCTTAAAACAAATCAGTAGGCAGGGTTGTCATTAACATTTTTTGCAGAAGGTTTGTTTTGAACTTGAGGCGGTCATTTCTGTCTTTATCATGCATAACAAAGAGTGTTTTCTTAATTTTGAGGCGGCCCATAATGCATTTGAGACAGGCATTTTGGCCTCCTGCCGCCTCTTAATGACAACCCTGAGTAGGGAAGATAAAAAGTACATGTAATTGTAATTTAATAACTAAAAAATTCTGATTTAAGATTTTATTCTAGGGAAATACATTTCATTACAATTCTTAATCTTTGAATGAGCTGAACTGATATTTACTTGAAAATTAAAATATAATTAAATTTCTATGAGAAAGTATTTACATTTGATAAGGTAATTACTGTATGATCTTTATGAACAAATACCAAGTCTACAGAACACCATAGTTATCACAGTTAAGAATCTTGACCAATGAATGAAACATGTGTAAATAAATGTTACATTCTTTAGAACATACTCAAGTCCAAGAAAGAGGATTATTTTATGCCCTTTGATTAAATTCTATTTTTAGAATTGAAAGTGAAAGTAGATCAAGGGGAGTAATTGTGTAAGTCATTTATGAACAAAGTAATAACTTTGTTGTTGCCCTTTGATTAAATTCTATTTACAAAATCTGGATATTTCATCATCTTTAGTGACCTTGACCTTGTATATATTGACCTAAATTATATTTATCACAGCCATAGTCTTGATAATGACCATTTGTGTTACAATCCCTCAATAAATGATGACTAAATGGTCCATATACACATCTTCATATTTTTATCTGAACTTTGACCTCTATGTGTGACCTTGACCTTGGCCGCAAGGACCTGAATCTTGCACGCGACACTCCGCCTCACAATGGTGAACATTTGTGCCAAGTAATATTGAAACCCCTCTATACATGTGGAAGTTTTGCTCCGGACAAGCATTTTTCAATGACCTCTAAGTGTGACCTTGACCTTTGACCTAGAGACCTGGTTCATGTGCGCGACACTGCTCCTCATAGTGGTGAACATTTCTATGAAGTTTCATTAAAATCCCTCCATACATGTAGGAGATATGCTCCGGACAAAATTGGACGCCGAACGCCCGCCAGCCCGACCGCCCGCCAGGGGCGTTCCCATAATACGTCCCGTTTTTCAAACGGGCGTATAAAAATATGTAATACAATTACATGTATCAAACACGCAGTATTCAACAAATGACAGCTAAAATTACTAATTTGGGATATTAGTAACAGCAGTATATTAGTGACAGCAGTATATTACGTTTCAGACATATTTTATATAATTGAAATTGTTAGTGCTAGACATAAAGTTCCTGAGAAAATTAATATTCATTAAAAGGTTGATAAATAATAAGCACCAATCGATTCAAAATCTCTTTGTTAAATCTATAATTAGTATAGCATATCTAAATTCTTCATTGTTAAGACAATGCAAATAAAGTTTAAGACATCATTTCAGTTCAAATTATTTAGCTTCAACCAATACAATTCAAGTATCTGAAGCAGGAAGTATATATCGGATGTATTGTTGTCAAACCAAATAATGTTAGAAAACCATGTGACAGGCGGCCAGGGTGGCTAGCGGCATGCCCCTGAACTCCCTTAGAATTTTTGCACATTCCGTGCTAAATTCAATTGGCCTCCTCAATATCCGAAATTGCCTCCTACATAAAATCCTAGTGAAAGCCCTGTAAGCCCTGAACAGAAACAAAGCTCTTGTCAAATTACGACCTTAAAAACTGGTGAAGAAATAATAACCAATGTATTATGCGAGTGAAGGACAGACCTACCTTTCTCCGAAGTCAAACAACATATCTACATGTGTGATCGGGATATGGACAAAAGCCCCCCCCCCCAACCCTGTCTAAAAATGTCAAGGTGGACAAAAGCCCCCCATGAAATTTACACATAGGACAAAAGCCCCCCCAATAAAAAAGTAAAGGTAGGACAAAAGCCACCCCCCCCCCATGGTCAGTCAAATTTACATTGTGAATTAAAGTTGTGTTTTTTATGTTTTTAAAAGATATGTATGGACATCACATGTAGGTGACATAGTGCTAAGGATATTAATTTGATCCCTTTACAAAAGTGATTAAGCATTACTACTCTTCTGACCCTTGTTGTGTATATGAAAAGCTATGAATTCAGTATTGCATGCATGCATTATTTAATTTTTGTCATTAACTTTGTTATCACTTCAATATATACATTATAAATAAATATTAAAACAAATTGTTTTCAATTTTATATAAAAGTTTGTGTGAAATTTGAGCACCTGTGGTGTGAAAAAAGATGGGGGGAGGGCTTTTGTCCTACCTGTATTTTTGATGGGAGGGGGCTTTTGTCCTACACTCTGTGTTATCTCATGTTTTCCAGCATGGACCTACCTTTCTCCGCAGTCAAACAACATATCTACACGTGTTATCTCATGTTCTCCTGTAAGTACATCAAGTTCAACCTCAGTGCCTGTCACACCATAAGAATTATATTTGTAGTGACCGTCACTATGAGGTTTGTACCAGCTGTGTGCTGCAAGGTCTATACCCTCTACATAACACTCATTTATCAACTCTAGCCAGGTAGGTTTACCCATCTTTCTCCGCACAGGTGCAAGTCTGTCAGTCAATATCTTGCAGGCATTTATGACTGACTGAAATCAGATGGAGAGCATTATGAAATAGCATATTTAAGATCAAAGCAATTCTATAATGTAATGTAAAATAATAAACTTTAGTGATTTGACAATCCTGGATCATATATTTCTTATGACATATTCTATTTAAATCAAAGATAAGTTAAATCATATTCAATTATAATGTGGAAAGAAAGTACTAAAATGATCACAGATGCTCTTTAGCAAAATAGTTTGATAACACAATATATATTCCTCATGTTTTTGTTTTCATGTCTTTTATCTGACAATAAGTTCTGACAATGAAATGTTACTACTTTTTACAAGTGAGTTTTTAGCACAGGATAATAATGTACCCAAAATCATATCAAACTGTCCCAAATTAATAGCAGGAAAAGTTTAATACATATGTAAGTAAAGTATAGGTAATTAAGATCTATTTCTTTCCCTTCTCTCTTTTTATATTAATTCTTTAAATTGGATGAGTTTTAAATCTTACAGTTAAGTTCACACTAGCTTAACGGCGTGCATGGGTTGGTCATGTGACCAATGTCATAAACTATTGGTTGAACCACTGATCTTCTGATAGAAGACAAATCTCCTAGTGAGAGTTGAAACAGCAAACCTGAGTTTAAAGTGTCTTAAAGACAGCAGTTTCTTTCGCTCACACTATATACCAAAGATAATTGTCTGACAAAGACAGTAAAGGCATAAAATAAAGATTCAGGGAGCACAATTATTAAAAGTAGTGATCGTGAGAGGGAAACAATGAGTGCCAGTGTAACAGAATAATTGTGAGAGTAAACAAATGATAGTGAAGGCCAAGTAATAAAAGAAAGGGAAATGGAAAGAAAGTGATTCTTTACAATTGTAGTAAGTAATGACAAAGGAATGATAATGCAAACCACAGAAATGATATTTACAGCCAGTGAATGAAAATGACAGTAAAAGAATGACATTTCTGGCATATGAGTAATATGACAGCCAAAGAATAACAGAGAAAGCAATGAAATGATAGTTTGGAAAAACAATTAAATTAAGACAGAGATGCCAAAAAATCATAGAGATTTCTAAAAGATATGACAATGAGAGCAAAGAAAAATTCAAGGCAAAGGAATGATAGTGATGATAATGGAATGAGAGTGAAGGCAACAAGGGCGAAGGAAAGATATGGATGTCAAAGAAATGAGAATGAGTACAAAAGAATGATAGAAAGACAAAAGAATGACAGCGATAGCTAAGGTCTGAAATTATAGGAAAATTAGGGACAAAAGTATAATTGTGACAGCAAAGACATGCTGCCAGACTTTATTACAATGACGAAGAAGACATACTTTAGCTACAAGTTCACTTGTTACACTAGAGCCTGTAAAGCAGCTACCAGCTGCTGTTAATGTATTTGTTGCTTTGACTTTGATAATTTCCACTGGGATCCCCAACTCATAGGCACAAACTTGTGCTGCCTGGAAATAAAACAAAAAAGGTAATGTTTATATAACAATATAGTCATCCTAATCATATGCCAAGCTGGAAATATTCCTACAATGACAAAATCATTGTTAATGCATGAGAGAAACAAATTATTTTATCATTAGTTAAAACATCTGTACTACCTTGAATGTGAAAAGATTTAAAAGAAAATAAATGTTAGAATATCCATTCAGAATATTTTAATGCCCTTTCCTTGATTAAGTGACATATAGAAAATGTAAGCATCTTTATTTTCTTTTTGAACAAATATTTAAGGTAAGTAGTGAATAAATATTAAAAAAAATTGAATTCATAATATCTTGAGGAAAGTTGGTATAATTTTCAATAATTTCATGTCAAAACAATTCATAACCTTTGTATTAATTCCCTGCCCAACTTCAATGCCACCATGTGATATTGCTACAGTACCATCTTGAGAATATATAGCAATGTTGACCCCATAATTCTGTTTGTTCCATGGAACACCATACTTCAATGGTACCACCGATAAACCTTTCTTCTTCCATCTATTTGCCTGAAATGAAAAATATTATTACAGATATCTATTTATCAGAATCAAAATTTGAAAATATAATGTTTTGAACATACTTTAAAGCAGCACACCTCCAGATTCATGCTAATTCACATCGCAATTGACACTTACAATCCAAGCAAATCCCAAAAAAAGACTTAAAAACATGTAAAAAGTAGCCATACTTGTGTTAGTCTCACAGTAAAAAGAAAATGATGATAAATACTACAAAATCAGTATTTTATCATAGGTAACTTATAAATTATTACTCGAATCTTTTTACCTTATCTTAAACCTTAGTAATTTTTCACAAGTTTGATTTTCTGAAAATATTTTGGTTCATCTGTAGGAGAGCAGCTTTAAATCACAACAATCATAAATATCAAAATCTATTACAAATATCATTTCATTGTAATTCCCATAAATATCAAATAATACAAAAATCAGATTTAGTTATATGCTTTCTTTCAAACCTACAGGAATTTTTTATATATTTAGTAACAACAATTTGTAAAGGAATGAAATTTGAATGTTTTTTCTCTTGTTGAACTTTAAATTATCATAACTGAAAATGTTTTGTTGTTGTCTTCTTTGTCAAAAATTTTAATATTTTTTAAAAACATTTATATGTGATCCAAATATATACATACCTCATTGAAGTTTTTAATTCCTTCCTGCCTTTTAGCAACTTTTGCTGAGTGCTCCAGTTTTAACATGAGATCAGAGATACTACAGTAGTTCAAGGTCATTCCACCAGGGGTCACTTGATCTTTCTTGTACAAGTTAATCTGCCTTAATTCTGTTGGATCCTTGCCAAGTGTCTTTGATAGATGTTCCATTATTGTTTCCATGACAAAAATTCCAGGTGTTGATGCTAAGACATTTACAACATACATATCATGTATACATATCAAAAGACATTTCAAATGCAAAAGTAAAGAAAAGAATTATTAAAAAGATCTCAGCATACAGAATGGACTCATTAAATTATCCCGGAGCAATAATATACATGTACTGAATGGTCTAAATTAAATAATAAGGGTATTCAACATTTTAACATTGCTTCATTCAGTTCTGGATTTATGTCTTACATTTTTCATTTTGTATTAAGTCCCCTGAGCTATACTGTACTGAATACAGGAGTATAGAAAATTCTCAAAAATTACCAAAATTATCAACACCAAACTGTCATTTTTACAGAAAGCTGCTTCTTTTGAAACTCGAAAATGGTGTAGAGATTAATGTCCATTTAATATGAATGTCTTTTATGTTACCCTAACTTTAGAGAGAAGATTTCTCAGTTTCTGTAAAATCTGTTAATAAAGAGACTTAAAAACAGTTCTAAATGTACCTGGTGCCCGGCAGTATGTGTTTGACGCTGTGTTAGTCTGCACTGCTACAGGAACCATATGCCAGTTTGGGCAATAATATGCTAAAATTTAAGAAAATGAAGCTGTGAATGAATGTTAATTATTACATCTTTATACTAAGAAATTCTATTGGCTAATTAAATCCTAATAAAATGATAAATGGCAGGCCTTGGTACATTTACATGCACTTCATAAACTGTGCTTGCCCGATTGATCATTTTTTTCCTTGTTTGATCTGAACTTTCACTCGCAAAATTAATGCAAGCAGGCAAGTGGATTTGTTGAGGCCTGAATGAGAAAAACATCTGGATGGTCTTTCAGGTTTATAATAACTTTAAAACAACAATTCTATTTCTTAGTGTAGATGTTCTCTGAAATTCTAGTCATGCTTTATACAGAAACAGCTTGAAAATATAAATATTGAAAAGCTGCAGTGACTTAAATGCAAAATCATTCACTTGAATATCACAAATACTAAGAAAGTAAATCATAAGGAGAATTTATATTGTATAAAAGATAACCATTTGGCTAAATTCATTTGAACTAAAAAGTAACCATACTTTTCATATCATTTGCATGTCTATTCTATACCGGCAAAATCACAAATTTAAGGAATGGAGGACAATTCCTGACTACACTTTATAGACAGCAGTATTCAAATTATATTTATCAATTATATATTGGTAAAAATGCTTTTAATTTGGTTGATTAATACCAATATGCAAAGTGGACATTATCAAGTATATATTTGCAGACTTATCTTGGTTTTGTTTGTTTGTTTGTTTCATTTTACGCCTTTTCCCAACAGTATTTCAGTCATATAGGCGGGACTTATCTTGGATGTTTATTAATGCTTGATTGAAGAATCTCTCTTTTTTTTAAAAAAAAATGCTTGCTGTATTATAAATTTTTGATAAACATTTCTGACATTTTATATGGCTGTATTAAAATGGTTCTTTGCAATATAACCCTCACCTAGTGGCTCAGGTTATATTTCCTTTTACATAAGGCATCTTTATAACTTATAACTGATGATTGTAGAAAGGCTCTACTGTAGTACTTAAATCTGAGTCCATGCTCCTGAATGAATTTAACATGATATTATATGGGCTCCTAGAGGGTTGACATCAATATTGCTAAAACGACAATTAATATATTCAGGTTTCAAGGCAGATATATCTAGAGGTATTATATTAAATATGTAATCTTGTGTTTGTTGATTATGAAATAGAGCAAACATTTTATGATGACAAAGGATTGCATTGTTCTTTATAAGATGCATAGGTTAATTAGGTTTGTCTTCATCCCTTCAAACTGTCATTAAATTGAAAACTATATCTTACCATTGTCTCCCATATACATAATGTCACCAACAGTACAGTCATTGACAGCATAGCCACAATCACAGTAGTATGTTACCTTGATGCCATTCAACATACCTTCATCTGTTACACCAACCTTAATATAACATTAATTACAATCAATCATTTTCATAACACATCATGCTTTTCTTTGTATGGTTATAAGTCACACTAAGTAACCCCATAATGGTAATATGGAGACTTCCCACATTTACTGGTACAGAAAAGATACTAGGTGTCCCTACATGCTATTTTTATGCATGAGTTGCCACAGATGAAGATCCAATTTATAATCTTCTATAAGCTGGACGGATTCATTCCTCATATGAAAGAATATGAAGTTGTAGTCACAATTTGAAACTAGAACTATCACTAAATGTAATTAATACCCCCACAAGACTGCTTCAGAAATAAGGATGTTAATAGTAACAGAATACCTTGTAAAAGAATTGAAATATAGATTTATGGTTGTGGGCAATTAAAGATAGTTGTGGTTCTTGTACGTTGCATTTCCTTTCAATGTTGTTGGCCATTGATGAAATTTAATTGAATTACTCTGTTATAAGTCCAGAAAGATAAAAAAAAAGAACAAAGGGCAATAACTCTATAAATACTGAAGATAGAGTTATAGTTCTTGTGCACTGAATTTCCTCTTATTGTGCTTGACCATTGTATGAAGTTGTTTTGAATTCCAACCAGTATGTTTTAAGTTATGCTCCGGACAAGAAAAAGTACCAAAGGGCAGTAACTCTGTATTTTGTCAAAATGGAGTGATGGCTCTTGTGCACTGCACTTCCTCTTAATGTCCTTGACAACTGTATGAAGTTGTACTGAATTCCAAACAGTAGTTTTCAAGTTATGCTCTGGACATGGAAAAGTAACAAAGGACAATTACTCTGTAGTCAAGATGGAGTTATGGTTCTTGTGCACTGCACTTCCCCTTATTGTGTTTGACCATTGTATGAAGTTGATTTGAATTCCAACTAGTAGTTTTCAAGTCATGCTCTGGACAAGGAAAAGTAACAAGTGCAGTAACTCTGTAATTAGTCAAGATGGAGTTATGGTTCTAATGCACTGCACTTCCTCTCAATGTGCTTGACCATTGTATGAAGTTAAAATGAATTCCAACAATTATTATTCAAGGAATGGTCCGGACAAAAGAAAGCAATGGAAAAGTAACAAAGGGCAATAACTCTGTAATTAGTCAAGATGGAGTTATGGTTCTTGTGCACTGCACTTCCCCTTATTGTGCTTGACCATTGTATTAAGTTGTTTTGAATTCCTACCAGTAGTTTTCAAGTCATGCTCTGGACAAAGAAAAGAAACAAAGGGCAGTAACTATGTAATAAGTCAAGATGGAGTTATGGTTCTTGTGCACTGCACATCCTGTCAATGTGCTGGACCATTGTATGAAGTTATAATGAATTCCAACAATTAGTGACCAAGTTATGGTCCAGACAAAAGAAAGCAATGGAAAAGTAACAAAGGGCAATAACTCTGTAATTACTTTAGATAGAGTTATGGTTCTTATGCATTGCACTTCCTCTCAATGTGCTTGACAATTGTATGTAGTTATATTGAATTCAAACCATTAGTCTCGAAGTTATGGTCCGGACAAAAAAAAAGCAATGGAAAAGCAACAAAGGGCAATAACTCTGTAATTACTTTAGATAGAGTTATGGTTCTTGTGCACTGCACTTCCTCTCAATGTGCTTGACCATTGTATGTAGTTATATTGAATTCCAACCATTAGTCTTCAAGTTATGCTCCAGACAAGGAAAATGCAACGGACGTCTGGACCGACAAACGAACCGACCGACCCACCCACCACCGGGTGACTCCTATATAGCCCCCTAAACTTCGTTTTTGGGGGTATAAATATATCATTGAGTGGCAAGAAAAATTCAGTGCATTCACTGCAGAACCACAAAGCCCTTTTTTGACATATACTGATAGTCTGTTAATCTATGGATACCTTTAATATGGAAAAACAGTTTAAAGTGTGGATTTAATTCAAGTTCGTTAAGACTTTAGTTATCATAGTGAAATGGGCTTTTATTGAACAAACTTTGTAGACACTTTCTAGAAGATGTTTCATGCTTAATATCTAAACTCTAGCTATTTGGGTTATTCAAAGAAGATTTTAAGTTTTTGTTATACACATAATAAGAAAATCAATGACCCCGGTGGCATGGCCAATTTTGACCCCAGGTCTTTTATTTGAACAAACTTTGTAGACACTCACTTAAAGATGTTTCATGCTTTATATCTTAACTCTAGCTATTTGGGTTTTTTCAAAGAAGATTTTTTAAGTTTTTGCTATACACATATAAGGAAAATCAATGACCCCCGGGGCGGTGCCAATTTTGACCCCAGGGCTTTTATTTGAACAAACTTGGTAGACACCTTTTAGAACATGTTTGATGCTAAATATCTTAGCCATAGCTCTTTGAGTTCTTTAAAAGAAGATTTTTTTAGGTTTTTACTATATGCATATAGGGAAAATCAATGACCCCCCGGGGCGGGGCCAATTTTGACCCCAGAGCTTTAGTTTGAACAAACTTGGTAGACACTTATTAGAACATGTTTAATGCGAAATATCTTAGCTCTAACTCTTTTGGTTCTTTAAAAGAAGATTTTTTAAGTTTTTACTATATGCATATATGGAAAATCAATGACCCCCTGGGGCAGGGCCAATTTTGACCCCAGGGCATTTATTTGAACAAACTTGGTAGACACCTATTAGAACATGTTTGATGCTCAATATCTTAGCCATAGCTCTTTGAGTTCCTTAAAAGAAGATTTTTTAAGTTTCTACTATATGCATATAGGGAAAATCAATGACCCCCCCGGGCGGGCCAATTTTGACCCCAGGGCTTTTATATGAACAATCTTGGTAGACACTCAAAAGAAGATGTTTCATGCCAAATATCTAAGCTCTAGTTCTTATGGTTTTTAAAAGAAGATATTTAAAGTTTTTCTTTCAGTTGCCATGGCAACCAGAGTTCTGCATGGAATTAAATTCTTTGAACAATTTTTAAAGGTGACCACCAAAGGAACATTCCTGTGAAGTTTGGATGAAATTGGCTTAGTGGTTTATGAGGAGATGTCATTTAAAGTAAAAGTTTACTGACGGACGACGGACGGACGAAAATCCATTACAAAAGCTCACCCTGTCACTTTGTGACAGGTGAGCTAAAAATGAATATAAGAAAGTGTATTCTGGCTTAAAAAGAAATGTTTTGTAAGGTTTTAAAGATATCTAACATATATCAAGCAACTACATACAGTTTTTTTTATTGATATCTGGTTTGCATGATTACATTTCTGGTGTAAAAATACTTACCGTGTAGTTAGCCAAGTATGGAAACCTTTTTCCTACCATCTCAAGGTTTGTATGGAAATTCATGGCTAATCTAACTGGCCTGTAAAAAGTAAGTAAGGAATTAATCTCTTTATTACAAATTCTTTCCAACTCATCATAATCACCATTGGAAATCTATGTGAGGGAGTGGGACAGGCAAACATCATTTAGGATATGTAAATTTACCATTTTCACAAATTCATTATTGTAGCAACACTTTAATCATTTATTATAGAGTTTACTAGTGATGCATTAATTCAGTTAAAATGACTTTTTAACTTACTGTATGTTCTGTGAGTGAGTCAATCAAACCAAGTCTGCAATTTTCATGCAATTTTGTTGCAATTAAAGCTTCTGAGGGATCACATTTTGTCCAGATTTATAAATTATTATTTATAAATCTAAAAAAAGCCTGACATGCAAAAATTACATAAAATGTTGACAAATACACCATTATTTAAGATTCAATACATAAATCTAAATCACTCTGTATACAACATTGAAATCTATACTTAAAACATTTGTAAGGTTTATTACTTTATTACTGTAAAGGTTGTGTAAAAAAAAAAAACACAGCTATAATGACATGCTTAATTGTATTGATGTTTTCATTGAATAAAAAATAGTATATAAAACAAATATTCATATCTTTAAAGGCAAAAAGAGATATTGTTATTATAGTAAACTTCAATGATTTAAATCTATTTCTAAAGATATTTTGATCTACTCTGGTTTAAGGTATTGACCTGTCATCGGCATTGAATAAATATTTATATCCTTCAACCATGACCTTGACCTTGAAACTGGGTCTTTATATCAGTTTAACAAATTGCTTTTTTAGCACAGTTACAAATGAATAATTTTCCTTTGATTAACAAAGATAATATCTGAACAAACATAGCTTCAGTTAAGTTATAAAAGAACTAAAATAGAATACATAAACTTGGATGATTAGTTCTAATGGATATAGTATTGATATATTTAAATAAATGTTCTCGATATTTAAACCAAGGAGAAAGAATACAATAATTATACTTTTGGATTGCATAGTTCAATATAATTGTGGTAAATCAGTGTTATATCAGTGGTATAACTGTGGTATAACTAATCAAGTGTTGGTTGTTTCAGTGACTATAAAACACTTTAGTTTCCTTGGGTAGTAAAAATACTTAATATATAATGATGTTAATATAATCAATGGAAACAGGAGTTAAGTTTCTTCAAAAAAAGAAAACTGAAATATTTTAGTGAATTTTGAAAAAAAATCTACATTGAGTGACTTTTGAAAAAACTGTTGAATTATTTATATATTATAAACCAATCTGAAAATGACAGAAATATTTAACATGGGATAAAAATGATCAAATAATCAAGAATGAATTCTGAATACAATGTGCGATAATTTTATTGTTATTTTGAATGATCAGTTCTATAAGAAGTGTTCAATGTTCTAAGTTGTGAAAATTGCCTGACTGCAGCAAAAAGTTGTCAAACAAAACTATTTTTGTCAAATACATTAAATACTTCAAATATAAAAGGAAAATGGCTACTGCAGGAGAAAAGAATGCAATCTGTTTGTTTCATGGTATGAATATTGAATATTGCTGTCAGTCTTGTGATAACCTTGGCTGTAAACAATGTATTAATGCCGAACATAGTAAATGTACGAATGTGACCACAATTGATGATATACATATAGACATAGAAAACTTTGATGAGTATATCAAAATGAAGGACGATATGAATGAAATTAGGGATATTTCTGAAGAAATTACAGAAAATATAAACGAACGTTGGGACTATGTGAAAACAGGTTTGTCCGAAGAAAAGGAAACTCTTGCTCGTTTAAAAGCTGATATGAATGCGATTTTTGACAACATTCAAGCTAATATTGAAGAAAAGGAATCTGATGCTGAAACCAAAGATAAAGAAAATATTGAAAAGTTCACCTCAGATGCTGACAGTGCCATTATGGAATTAGAATCTATTGAAAATAAGTTAGAAAATTTGAAGAGATCCCAGAACTTTAAGCAATTTTTCATAACACTGAAACAAGCTAAGCCTGTAATACGCAGCATAGAAAATAAAATGGAGGATCTGGTCACAAGTTCAAAACCTCAAAGTCTTGGCCAGCACCCTATGCTACCTAAGGTTAAAGGTGAAACTGAGGTCAACCTCATACAGTTGGAAGAAGCAGTGATTGAATTTAAAATGTTACTGTCAAAGTCAAATTTAACCCAAGAACAGTGATTAGAAAAGTATTTTGTCTACATTTGTTACAATGTTATTGTTTAGAATGATAGCTTTTAAAAGCCCTCTTCACCAGATTATTATGTAATATGTGTGTTGAGAATTTTAAAAAAAAACATTATGAATCAATACTTGCCAATATTTGATCACTTCCTGAAATATGGTCGGAGATCAGATAAGAATAAAAAATAAAATCATGCTTACTTATCACAAGAGATTTTTTATTCTCATCAATATGTTTTAATCAAGAAATAATAATATCCCAAACAGTGATTTTATTGCTCAATAAAATCACTGTTTGGAGTTCCAATGCGATGAAATATATCACAAGGGCATTGTCAGAGTGATATGATGCCCATCTGAATGACAAACAGTGATTTTATCAATGTGGACAAATATTTGCAGTACATAATTATTTTACATATTCTTTGATGTTTTAAAATTGTTTGAGAAGCATAATTATATACATATATAATATTTCACTTAAGTGTGGTATAACTACCTTAATTAAAACATACAGGATCTTTATAAGCCCATTATTCATTAAAAATGCTTTTATCTTTTTTTCTCAAAAGCTTTTTATATTTGGTTTACTTCTCAAGTTTCCAAAAAGTTACTCATTTGTAAATTATCATAATCATTGTTTTCCTATGTTGTATTTTGTAAGTTAGTACAGTTATAGTGATTTTGTATGGAAGTCAATTTACTCTTTTGTTAACATTTTGCTTTTATGACAAATAATTTAAAAAATTAGCACTACTTTTTTCAGGTTACAAAAATCTGACATGCTCTAAAACCATTATCTAAATGTTATAATACCCATGTTAAAGAAGTAAAAATAAGTTCATTTCTTAGGCATATTGTGCCTTTAAGTGATAAACATTTGCAATCAGTTTAGAGACAAGGCAACCTGCACATCCATGCAGTCTGGCAAGGCTTATTATAACTCACTGACCAACATTAATGTTTCATCTTGATGTCAAGATTAATAATGAGACATTTCCATAGTTGGACCCTGGACTGGTCCATTAATTTAAGAAATTCAACAGGTTATGGTTTAAACAAACAACAAATATCTTTTAAAGTTATTAAGTCCACATATTTAACATTTTAGACAAATGAGACGCACCATGACAAAACCAGCAAACACACTATGTTGGTTTTGTCATGGCACGGCTCAATTATTATTTTAATACATACATGAACTAGTATGAAAGACTCTCATAGAGTACTGAAACAGGATATAATGTATGTGAGTGTTACATCAACATGTTTAAATCATCAAGACAACTGTCAGTCTACATTTACATAGATTACTGACCATCTTTTTTTAATTAATATATTTTAACTACAGCACAATACAGCATCTCTTTCACAAAAATAATATTGAATTTACTTTTCAATCAAATTCCTATGTTTGTTCTAAAATCATCTAGAATGAACTTTTGGTTTAAACATATTTATTTAAGCTTGATTGCGAAACAAGTTCTTGCGACATATATTAATCACTTTAGAGTCCGCTTCCTAGAACCAACCAGTACTGGTGTCATATGAAGAAACATGGTAGTGACCACAGTAGGGCTTGAACCCATGATCTTTGGGTTGAGAGGCAGACACCTTAACCACATGGCTACCGCTCCCCTAAGAATGAACTTTTACATTTTAAATTGAAATAAGTAATAATAGAAACAATCAACTTTTTTGCTTTTCAAGAAAAATCTGTTCTGAAGCAATTTTTTAATAAAAATGGTCATGTAATTAATTTTGATGCCAATCTGACCATATTTTATTAGTCTCATCATATTGTCTGGTTGTTGTTACTCAGATTCTCAGTAGATTTAGAAAACTTGATAATATCATTATGTCAACAATACTGAAATCTTTTTTTGGGGTCTATGTCTGTACTTTGTTTATATATCTGACTCTGTATGCTAATATGATGATTGATGGTTAAATTTCTCCATTTAATGCAATAGCATTTTTTAGTACTGAAAATGGTTCAATTACTTTACTACAAAGTTAACCAAGGTTAACTTACACCTCTACCAAGTGGGTCACAATAATGGCTCTACTTTTTCTTGGAAAAGTGGAGCTTAAAATAACAAAATATCTCACCTGTTAAGTACCTGGGCAGCAACAGCACATGCTGAGGCTATACCAAAGTTTCTAGAAATTTTGGAGCCATAAGCCCCTCCAAGTCTCTTTACTTCTACATCAATACTGAAATATATATAGTCATACATTACTTTTAAAACATGTTAATGTCTTTTATTTCTCAAATTATGAGAAATCAATCCCATACACATGTACGCATATTCTCCTTGCTAATGTTTCATTTCTAAATTGGACTTAGTTTTTCCCCTTTAGAAAAACACAAGTCTAATTAACAGGAGCTGTTATTATAAAGTGACATATGTCCCCTAAATGAAGCTTTGCTTTGGGAGAAGCATAAATATAAATTGAACATATTATGGCAAAGGGCAATAAGTCAAGGACAGCAAGTATTAATGGAAAACAATACAGCTACTATTCCTCCTTGAGATATCTCCATAGGCATTATTAAAGCAAAGACAGATGAAGCAAAGACAGATGGAAAACAAAACGGTAAGGCTATAGACCATAAGTATTACAAGAAAATATGATGGATGGACGTGCTACTTAAATTGACTAAGGAGCTGTTTATTTATTTTCTTTTGATGGCCTCATTCAAATTAGTCATTCAAAAGAAGCACAGACAAGATTGTACTGGTTCAACAGTGCAATCATAAAAATATACAATTGTATATCATTTTGGGAGCATAACAAGGAGACAATTACTGTTAAATATTCAAAACAAAATAGATAAATACAGAATCCCTAAAGAAAGCCCAACACGGCAAAATTGAAAATGTTGCAGGCTCGGTTTGATTAAGCCTGTTCATGGACGGTACTGGAAAGTGCAAGTTACCGTCCACGCCCCCTAGCACCGGCTTAAGCAGAATTCAACATTTAAACATGAAATAGTAAAATTTTGAATTTAGAAACATCCGCAGATGTGTTCATACGGCGGTTATCATTGAACCTTCAATGTGACACTTCCGTGCCATTCCATGAAAAGCGGCGTATGGTCCCCAAGTAATAAAAAGCGTGTGCCCTAAACGAAAAAACAATGGGCGGAACTAAATAAAATGGAATTTTGAAAGGGGATCAGAGGTTATGAAGCCTGCGTATCACAGATAAGACGTCAAAAGATAAATTTAAAAAGCAGGCAACATATCCTAAGGGTGATTCAACATTATTCAAGTAGGAATATTGGAACCACCCAACTAGAAAATGCCGAAAAGTTGAAACTAAAAATACTACAAGCACAACTCAACATAATGACTAAAGATTATTTCAAATAACTACACTTAACATCAAAATTTGCTAAAAAAAAAAGTAAGAAATGGTGCAAGGCTTAATGATTTACTTAAAAAGCTACCAACAAAAATATGTACAAAATGCATTGAACAAAAAAATCTCAACTATTAGTATATAATAATTTTCTCTATTCTATTTCATTCCATTACTATTCTTATACTTCTATTTCTTTTTAGTTTTATTCTTTTTCTATTGAAAAGCTCACCTAGCACAGGGGACACCAAGAACTTGTGCTATAGATTTCTGTGCATAATCTATCCACTGTGAAGATGCATGCACTTTCATCCCATCCTCTGTGGGAATACATACACTGATCTGTGTTTCCATGGAGAAATGATTCTGTGTACCACACCCAATACTGCCAGTAATCACATGGGCTGACTTAGCTATTGCTCCTGTAAAATATTGCCGAGAAAAATAAGTTTATGATAAGATACAAATGTAAAGGTATAAACAAAGACTAAATATCTATTATTTTCAGTTTTAACAATTCATGCTAAAGAGTTTGTTAATTCCTACATCTTAATGTTATAATACAATAAACAATTTCAGATGATGACTAGATGGCACTTCAAGTTATGCTAGTTAATTGCTTTCTGGGTGTCATAACCAGTACTCTCACCAGTTTGGTTTCAGGAAGTTAAAAGAGAATACCACAACAAGTGGGATTTGTACCCAAGACTATCGTTTTAAAAGTTCAATGCTCTGTTGTCCCTACACCATTCTTCTTCCACAAATCTAACATGTGAAAGAAAACTATGCTTTTCAGTTGTCATAATTCATATTTAATTTGTCGAATTCCTTCTAAATAATTTTTCAAAACTGGTAATGAAACATATTTTATATTCTTTCAAATGGCACAATAAATACACAAAAAATGTCTTCATAAGAAAAATCATAGATCTAGATACAACAGGAAATACCTTCAGCGTCCCCGACAACAATATCTTTAGCTACATTAGGAAAGATCATCTTTGCTTTCACAGCCTCCTCAATAGTTAGTACAGGTGGTTTAACATCTGTGTATGTCACCTTGACGGCTTTAGCAGCTGTGAATGCTGTCTCTTCTTTATCTGTAATATAGCATATTCAATTTTAAGACTAAAACAAGGGCTATGACTCTGTGTTTATTGAAACTAAAAGTTTAAAAATTGACAAACTTCATATTGATCTAAAAATCATTTCTAATCTTATTCATTCATTGTTATTAATTTGAGCTGTAACTGCTCATCTGAGCTTATACTGTTTGAATTATTACCCCATCATTTAGAGGTGAAATAGATGTTATCTGGAACACAGCAAATGTAGGTTTTTCACATCTAATTACCGGGTACAAACATACTTTTACCGCTGTAGCTTTTGGTGCAATACCATTTACAATAGAGTAATCAAGGTATTGCCATAACTATCATTATATCTACCAAATTGTAACTGTAAAAAGTTTTTGTTTGTACTCCTGGATTAGTTGGGGAAAATCCACATTTGCCATGTTCTGGAGTATCTCTAATAATCTTATCAAGTTGGTTGACTTTAAATCATGCAATGCATTCTTAGTAAGACACTCAATGAAGACTTTAGTTAACAGTTTATTACTGACATAATATAACAAACCTGCCACTACTATAGCTACAGCTTGTCCAGCATACATGACCTGTCCACTACATAACACCTCCTCGGGAGCATACGGTGCTGGCATAGCATTGTTCTGGCCTGGGATATCACTGGCTAACAACACCTTCACCACTCCTCTCATAGCCTGAATAAAATTGATTATATATTACCATAGTAACATCAGAAATTTCTAATACCAAAACACGTCATAAAAATACAGTATTGTATTTTCTATAAATCACAAAATATTTTAAATATCTTAAATACATTGTCATAAATATTTATGGTTTTGAGTTCAGACACATGCAGTAACAGATTATGCCTGAATATCTAGAAACAAAACATTGAAACTGTGCAATATTATAATGATAATGTATGAAGAATAAAATAAACTTTACCAATTCTAATGCTCATAGAAAATGAATCCTAAAAATATGTGTTCTGCATAATACTTGACATCATTTGGTATATCCTGTCTATTTAAGGACATAATATGGCAAAGTTCCTTTCTTTTGCCATACATATATCATATAGTTTCAGCTTACGTCTTTATTACATAAAGGAAATATTAAGAGACTTGTTAGAATAATAATTCTAAAATAATATTTTGGAAAATGTAATTTAATACAATTTTACTATTAAAAGGAAATTTAAGCAAAATCACAATTAAAAGCTATATAAAAGATGTAAATTCAACGAACCATTGCTTTTGATATATCAATGTTGGCTATTTTAGCATTACCAACTGTTGTTACTGTAAAAGCTGCATGAAGTTCTCCAGGTGAAGGTGCTATATCATTGATATACAACGCCTCACCAGTCACCTAGAAACAATAATAACATTCAAATTTCACAAATTTGAGTCATACTTTCCAGTGATTCATGTATTTACAAAGCATAAAAAAAAAGATTAAATTACTATCTGTAGCAGATAAAGTGGGAAACTTAATATGTCATTATTTTCATTTCATGTTATTTCTATAATGCTATCAAATGATTCAAAATCTAGAAATCTTTGAACCTGTTGATTTTGATCAATTTGTTGGGTTTTAAGTCACAACAACACTGTGATGCTCATATACGGACTTTCCAACTTTATTGATGGAGAATCACCTCAGATCCAATGTGTGCAGTATTTCCAACACCAGCAAGCCCTCGAGTAGAACCACGGACATTCTAAAAGCTAGTTGGGTAGCTACTTTACATGAAAAAAAATATCAAAGTTTCAGGGTGAGAGGCAAGTGGTTTGCAGTCAATGACCTTAAACACTCGGCCATGTACCTTTAATAAGTATCTTAGGACATAGGGAGAAGTGTAATATTAGAGCCATATTGATAGACAACCAATGTTGACCTTTTTCTCACTTCTAATTTACTTTTCACTCCTGTCCGAACAAAGTTATACCTTTTTGTGTAGTAATAAATGATGGAGTCAAAAGACATGAATTCCAACAAATCAATTACGAAAATTTGTCAGAAAAATTCATAATCACCTGTGCTTTTCCTTCTAATTTATGCATAGGTTGTGTGAGGGGCCATTCCTCTTTCTTTGTACCATAAGACTGTTTACCAGAAGATAGAGGGCGCTCTAAGGGAAATCCTCCACTTTGTAATCTCTTATCTGCATTTGTACCATATACATGCAAGACAAACTGTAAACAAACAAACATTTCCTAATAATATCATTGTTAAAGAATCTCCATTGAAGACCAAAAACATACATACATAAAATTTGAAACCTTAAATTGATCAACTAGGGCAATTAAAAAAAATATACTAAAATAAATTAAAAATCGATACATAGCACCATTCTTGAGACTGATTTGAGTTGAAAGCGTTTAAAAACCATTTCAATTTTAGGTTATTTTGCCAAACAAAAATTATTACTCTGGGAGAACTAAGATAGCAAATGATCAGTAAATTTGTACACAATTAATTGGTATGGCTCTACATTAAATGATATAGAAATCACAAAAAAAAAAAAAAAAAAAAAAATTCAAGTGCTGTCATGTCAAAAAACCTCAGCTAAGTCCCTTTGATTAAATTTATGAAATTGAATAATGAAAACAGACAATTATGAAACAAAAAAACCTGATATAATCTTATACATAGAACTATATATTTTATCTATGACCTACAGATGTTTGAAAAAGGTTCATATTGAGATGCTCAACATAATTTCTGAAGTCAAATAAATTACCCTATAGAATAAGGCCAAAGCGAGATCTATTCTATACTTGACACTGCCAGCAAGAGGGTCGTGGTCTGGGTTCAACTCTCCACGTAGTAGATCAATACAGGCTGAAAATGGAAATAAAACTTTTTTATGATAAAATGATAATAAAACTGATAGGTCAGTTGAGATGAAGCTGTAATATCTTTAACTCTTGCTGTCTGAGACAACTAAAAATATCAGTAACATCATTAGGTGCTCCTTGGTGTTGACACTGCCAAATGCCTTATTATGAAGAAACATAAACAAATCTAATTTTAGTCTCATGGACCTTGACCTTGAACCAATCAACCTAAAACCTTCGTCTACCCAAGGAAAAGGCTAAAAAACGGTACTTGCACATCAAATATTAAAACAATATGAGAAGCACGAAAATTCTCACATAAACTCTACCTTTCATTATGTTCATAGAGAATTTCATGACATAATGCATACTTACAATTCTTTTCTAATATAATCTGAAAGTCAATGTGACTTTTAGACCAGTTACCAAAAGGCACACACCTTAATCATAGTAACATAAGAATCTTTACTTTGCTAATACTACAACCTGTATCTAAAATGCCAGAGTACATAAACTCTACCTTTCATTATGTTCATAGAGAATTTCATGACATAATGCATACTTACAATTCAGTATGACAGAATCTCCAAGATAATTATTTGTAAGGAAGTTTTCAGTCTGTGTAGCATGTACCTGCATAAATAAATAAATATAGTAAATTTATTTATTATATAATTTATATTACCTAATATCAAAAATTATAAGATTTTTTTAAGTGAATACCTCTACAGGATATAATAGGAAGTTGCAAAAAAAACACCTCAGCCAATCCTTTTCAGGTTATCAAAGAGAATATCAAAATTAACACCAAAACAAACAGGATAGTCCAACTCTCTTCTAATAGGTCACTTAATAATATAAGAACTTGTGTTATAAAATGTTTGTAAATGGTAGTAAATTAAAAACTTACGAAATTTTTACTGATGCCAGCAAACACAATGGTAGGAGTACCGTTCACCAGGAAATGGTTGCTCTTGTCAATATTCATACTAAAACCACCACTTACATAGGAGTGAGAATTCTGAAAGAAACAAATAGTTAAAATTCAATTTTTTGTCTGCATTCTGTATAAGGGCATGAAAATATGCCTGTTTTTCATTTCTCACAAAAATGAAGGTTTGATCTGAACAACCATCCCTTTTAAATGGAATATACAAACTGTATATCTTTTTTAAACATTTATGTAATATGTTTATCTTTATTTGCAATTTAACACAAAAATTTTAAGATAAAATTTAGGGTATGAAAATTTGAAACACTGAACCAATCTGTACAAATCTGTTGTAAGAAATATAAAACAAATCTTCATTGCTATATCATTAAATACTGCAACTAAGGTTCATTATACGCTTTGATGCCAAAACTAAACAGTTTTGATATTTATAGTGGATAATCTTTTATGACTTAACAGGGACAGCATTCTAGCAATAACCTATATAATTCATAATAATAATTCATGTATAATATTTATGTTTGTTGGTGATTTTGTTTGTTTGGGGTTTTTTGGTTTTTTATTTTTTTTAGATATGTCCTTACTTTAAAAGGTATAAAGTTATATCTTATGAATTTTTTTTTTTTTTAAATTATCAACAGTTAAAACTATATTGTTTCCATAATCTTATGGTTGATTCTCAAAAAAGTTGTAACATAGGAATGCCTCTGTTATTGAACACATGGATATTATATGTAAATAGAATAAAATGTTCCGGAACATAATTATAAATAATGTTGCTATTTTAAGTAGAGTTTTAACCATTAACCTATGATTTCATGCATGTGTAATTCGCTTTTAATGCAGTTTACTACCATATTTCTTTCATACAAGTATTTTGGTAGTTTTCTTTATTAAAATTCAAACAATTACTTCTGTGGCAGATATATAGCTCTATTGACTTGGAAACGTCAACTTGATAATAAATCACCAAGAAATATAAAATCTTATAATGGTTACTTATATATGACTGTCTAACATTTGATAAAGACACTAACAATGAATATTTTTAAGTGTATAATGCTATTTATTATCTGATGCAAAAATTATTGGTTGAATTTTTTAAAAAATAAACTTCTAAAACGCAATGAAATAAATATGGTAATTTATTGCCTTAAAAACAAATGGCCTTTGCACAAAATCATTGCTATAGGGATAAAATCCTTCTTAAAATAGCAAAATAATATTTTGTTCCGTAACATTTTGTTCTGTTTATATACATTAATCATGTGTATTAAATAACAGAGACATTCCAAGTTACAACTTTTTCGGGAATCAACCATATAATAATGGAACCAATATAATTTTACTGTTGATAAATTTTATGGAAATATTTCATAAGATATAGATTTATATCCTTTAAATGAATCAAATACATAACAATTTAAAGTCACTTACACAGAAAATAAGAGAAAATTACTAAAAATTTTGAAGACTTACTTAATTAACTCTATGTAATGCTTTTTAATATATACCTGGGATCTTTTAGCCACTTTATAGAATTTAATGTTGTCATGTTTGTCTATATCAGGTAATGTCATGTGTGTAATCACTTTCCCTCTCATATCAGTTGACAATAAATGCTGCGGGGAAACTGCTGTCTGCCCATCTAAAACATAAATAAAGTAAATAAGCATTCAGTATACAGTTATATTGAAGATACATAAATGTATATTAGCGGATCTGACAAAACAATACTATAATGGAGTTATATTACCTCATATTTTAGATTTGCAATAAACTTATTTTTTTCTTTTTTTAACAATGGTACAAATGTAGCGGTTTATTGAAAAAAATTTTTTATGGCAAAAAGGGGTGTAAAATTTTTAAGTCCAAAAGGGAAATTGGGTAATACATGTATTACCTACTTTCACTTAAGTCATTACCAGTTTCAAGTATAGAATAAGGATGTATGATGAACAACACAAAATTTGTAAATCAAAGTGTTTTTTCTGGTATGTTTTAACACATGTCCACAAAAATGAATTCTTTCTATATAAAAACAAAATCTGGTGTGCCATGGAAAAAAAGATATCTTAAATTTATTTGTCTTTTGATATAATTTGATGCCATGAAATTTGAAACAAAATCAGCTTAAAACCTTATTATACTGCAACTACAAACATTCGGCAGTATGATATTATATTGGAATCACATCCTTAAATCATTTCCATAACTAAATACTTGCTTACATAACTTTAGTAAAAGTTAACTTACTAATATATATTTTGGCTTTGATGGTTTCTAACATGACAAACATGTCTGACGGAAATTCTGGGTGGGCATGTTTCATCATCAGGTTTCCTGCCCAACTGCCTGCCTACAATTCACATCAAAAAAAAGATGTCTGAATTATTACCGATAATGACATTTATTTTATGTTTTTTTCACTAGATTACTAAATTCTAACAAGTAAATAATTATACTTGTGAAAAAACCTATTGAATTTGTTTTTTTACATAATCATGTAAGATCAAATCATATTTCGCAAGTGAACATAAACTGCTATATTTTCAATCATGTCCATGCCACTCATAAATATATTTCACTTGGAACCTGAAAAATACTAGAATGAACTTACTATTTACCTTAATTTAGTTAAAAAAGCATGTGAGCAATAGAGTCATACTTTTTCTCATTATCTTGTATCATTTATTTATTTTTATCATTTTTTTATATCAAAGTACATCTGCCTCTGATTAAGAATAATCATATGTCATGGCTCCAGCTTTACATGTGGTAGACGACTTAGGACAATCTTCTCTGCATTATTTCAGACTTAGAACAAACCTCTGCATTATTTCAGACCTAGGACAAGCCTGAGCATTATTTCAGACCTAGGACAAGCCTGAGCATTATTTCAGACCTAGGACAAGCCTGAGCATTATTTCAGACCTAGGACAAGCCTGAGCATTATTTCAGACCTAGGACAAGCCTGAGCATTATTTCAGACAAAGGGCAAGCCTGAGCATTATTTCAGACATAGGACAAGCCTGAGCATTATTTCAGACCTAGGACAAGCCTGAGCATTATTTCAGCCTAGGACCAGCCGGAGCATTATTTCAGACAAGGACCGAGCATTATTTCAGACATAGGACAAGCCTGAGCATTATTTCAGACATAGGACAAGCCTGAGCATTATTTCAGACCTTGGACAAGCCTGAGCATTATTTCAGACCTAGGACAAGCCTGTGCATTATTTCAGACATAGGACAAGCCTGAGCATTATTTCAGACCTAGGACAAGCCTGAGCATTATTTCAGACCTAGGACAAGCCTGAGCATTATTTCAGACAAAGGGCAAGCCTGAGCATTATTTCAGACATAGGACAAGCCTGAGCATTATTTCAGACCTAGGACAAGCCTGAGCATTATTTCAGACCTAGGACAAGCCGGAGCATTATTTCAGACATAGGACAAGCCTGAGCATTATTTCAGACCTAGGACAAGCCTGAGCATTATTTCAGACATAGGACAAGCCTGAGCATTATTTCAGACCTTGGACAAGCCTGAGCATTATTTCAGACCTAGGACAAGCCTGTGCATTATTTCAGACATAGGACAAGCCTGAGCATTATTTCAGACATAGGACAAGCCTGAGCATTATTTCAGACCTAGGACAAGCCTGTGCATTATTTCACACCAAGGACAAGCCTTCTGCATTTTCAGACATAGGTCATTCCTGTGCTTTAGTCCAGACCTAGGACAAGCCTTTCTGTATTATTTTAGACCTAGGTCAAGTTTGTGCATTATTTTATACCTAAGACAAACCTCTCTGTATTATTTTAGACATAGGACAAACCTCTCTGCATTATTTCAGGCCTAGGTCAAGCAATATTTAAGACTCAGCACAACTTTTTCTGCATTATTTCAGACATAAACTGATCACTGACTGTGACAGCTTATAACCTTCCAGAAATGATAACTTAAATGGATATAGCTCCTCCTTAAACTTACATTTCTAACATTTGTATGTGCAATTCTCTTCATGAAGTGGTAACATTCTTTCAAGATATGCTTCTTTGTATAATCATGGTCAATGAAAGCTTCCATCATCTGTGTGATTGTGATGTTTGCACCAATCTGTATGACAGGTTTCATCTGTAATATACATGTATAGCTGAACAACGTGATTAAACCATTCCATTAATAGCTTTCCGACATGAATAATGATAAACATAGGAAACCATATGATAAAAAAAGGTTAAAATAAAAATTTGAAACAATAGAATTACATTTGATTTACAAATGGAAGCTTAACAGATAATATACTGTACATTTTTTGGAACTATGATCATTTCTTACGTCCATGCCAAGAAGTTGGTTTGTTACAGAAATAGAATGGTCCAGAAAAAAGATTTTAAGAGGGAAAATATTAGATGTATGACTTTAAAAGGAGTGAAAAATATGAGATACACTGTACCTGTTTAGGAAATACTATACATGACCATGGCATGACTTTATCGTTCAGCATTTTTTGAAGTAACAAAATATTAGCTTAAAATTCAGTGGAGAACACATAAATATTGTTTGCCATTTAATTTCAGTAACATTGATGTGCTTTTGTTTCTGTCCTAATATAATAATCGTACAGTTTTCACTTACTTGAAGTGTATAAAGTTCTTCTATTGCATGTAAATCTATCAATATCTCATACATCCATGGTCCTATATCTTTATATACTCCTATAAATATATATACACACATCATTATCACATAATTAAATTCAAGATTTCAGTGAATGGAAATGAATATGGTAAATGTAATAATATTTGCATGGCACAAACATTTTTATTTCATTTCATTAGCTTTTCTTTTCATTTTGTTTTTCTAGATTAATAAAATGAGTGTCACACTTACATAACTTTTAATCATCTGCAATCTCATTAAAATCATATCCTGTTGCTGATCCACTACCCTATGCTCGTAGTGAAGAGTAACGGAGTGAAAACGATGCTCTGATTTTAATGAGATTGAATCATCTGTATCCAGGATATTTTACGGGAAGTTTACAAAGGGTTATAACAATTCAGACAAGATCCATGAAGTGGTATAGTTATTGGATAGTGACATAAAATCCTAAATACATGTGTAAAGTTTCAACAGAACTCCTTTGATGGTTTAGCAGATTGCAGACAAAGCGATATTTAAGTGTTACACTATGTGAGTAGTCAAATTATAAAAATATTAATGCTCATGATTTCTAGATGAAACTATTAGCATAATAAAATAAAATTTTCATCATACCAGACCCAGTGCTTCCAAATACCAGTCTTACAGACTTGTCCTTGAACTGATCCAGAAGGTCATACAGCTGTTTCAAGGTCGTGGGTTTGAACCACTGGGCATCTCTGAGAACCATATGGAGTGGGCGCTCAAGTTTTGGTTTGCTACAATTTTCAGAGCAAGCTTTCCCAGTCTTTTTACATATCTTTGTACTCAAATTCTGAAACAGATTGTTCACTTTATTAACAAGAGGGCCATGATGGCCCTGAGGTCGCTCACCTGTATATAGGCCCCCGAAGCGGAGCCAGTTTAAACCCCAGGGCTTTTATTTGAACAAAATTGGAATTAAGACACCCATTAGAAGATGTTTCATGATGTTAAGTTTTTGTTATACACATATAAGAGAAAACAATGACCTTTCCCCCCACCCCCCCCGGGCAGAGTTAATTTTAACCCCAGGGCTTTTATTTGAACAAACTTTGTAGACACTTATTAGAAGATGTTTCATGCTTAATATCTAAACTCTAGCTACTTGGGTTTTTTCAAAGAAGATTTTTTAAGTTTTTGCTATACACATATAAGGAAATCAATGACCCCCGGAGCGGGGCCAATTTTGACCCCAGGACTTTAATTTGAACAAACTTTGTAGACACTCACTAGAAGATGTTTCATGCTTAATATCTAAACTCTAGCTATTTGGGATTTTTTCAAAGAAGGTTTTTTAAGTTTTTGCTATACACATATAAGGAAAATCAATGACCCCCCTGGTGCGGGGCCAATTTTGACCCCAGGGCTTTTATTTGAACAAACTTAGTAGACACCCATTAGAACATGTTTAATGCTAAATATCTTAGCTCTAGCTCTTTGAGTTCTTTAAAAGAAGATTTTTTAAGTTTTTACTATATGCATATAGGGAAAATCAATGACCCCCCTGGTGCGGGGCCAATTTTGACCCCAGGGCTTTTATTTGAACAAACTTGGTAGACACTCACTAGAAGATGTTTCATGCTAAATATCTTAGCTCTAGCTCTTTGGGTTCTTTAAAAGAAGATTTTTTAAGTTTTTACTATATGCATATAGGGAAAATCAATGACCCCCTGGGGCGGAGCCAATTTTGACCCCAGAGCATTTATTTGAACAAACTTGGTAGAGACTCATTAGAAGATGTTTCATGCTAAATATCTAAGCTCTAGCTCTTTGGGTTCTTTAAAAGAAGATTTTTTAAGTTTTTACTATATGCATATAGGGAAAATCAATGACCCCCTGGGGCGGGGCCAATTTTGACCCCAGGGCTTTTATTTGAACAAACTTGGTAGACACTCATTAGAAGATGTTTCATGCCAAATATCTAAGCTCTAGCTTTTTGGGTTCTTTAAAAGAAGATATTTAAAGTTTTTTCTTTCGGTTGCCATGGCAACCAGAGTTCTGCATGGAATTAAATTCTTTGAACAATTTTTAAAGGTGACCACCAAAGGAACATTCCTGTGAAGTTTGGATGAAATTGGCTTAGTGGTTTATGAGGAGATGTCATTTGAAGCAAAAGTTTACGGACGACGGACGGACGCCGGACGAAAAGCGATCACAAAAGCTCACCCTGTCACTTTGTGACAGGTGAGCTAACAAAAAATTCTGTGTAAAAATCTACTTTTAGCAACAGTGACATTCACCTTGACCAAAGTGACCCCAAACTCAAACCAACGTTCACCATCCAAGTTATCTACCAACCAAATATGAATAATATCATTAATTAAATGAAATTGGTTGAAGAAACTGTATGAAAGCATAATAAAACTATCGAAGGACAAAGTGGCAACTACAAAAATAGATTTGGGTCGCATAAAAAAGACAATTTGTTTTGTAGGCCTGACCTGATTGAAATAAAGCTAAGTTTGCAATTATATTACAACGACACATGACATTTTCAATTGCCTGTATATAAAGCAGATACAATAGACTTGCGCTGTCAAGAGTTACATTCCTTAGCTAAGCATTACTCTTATTTACATGTTCAGTTCAAACAAACCCTTAAGCTGTAAAAGAAATATGTTTTCTTACAATATTGCTACCATTTACAATTTCTTACATACATGTATAATAGATCAATAGGGCTACCAAACTATAACAAACTCACTTTCTAGAATCTCATGAATCAGAACAATAATTCAATGACCAGAAGTTTTGTCACTAATCTATCAGTAATTTTAATGTCAACTTAACCATTCCGTACTATTATTGGAAGTAATCACTAATAATTAATCCCTGTAAAATACTTACTTCTATATCTGTTGTAGAACAACCATCATCGGCAAAAGATTTCATAGCATCCAGTATAGATCTGTAACCTGGAGTAATTAATATACAGCACTAGTTTAAGCTGATTACAGAACTTTAAGCAAACAAGAACAAATTAGGTTACATTAAAGAATATGTTTCTTGATGAAGCTTTAACAAAGCTTAAGTCATGGCCTTACTATGAAAACAAATTGGAAAATTTATTTTTAAATTAAACACACTTTAAAGTTCAAGAATGGATTGGTCTTTAACTACATCTACATTAGAAGTTTTTTCACACCTTTTATAATATTGCACTCATCAATGATACATTACAGAAGTATATTTCTCTTATAAACCACTAATACCTGTACATCTACAAATAATTCCATCAAAGGCATCCTCTACTTTATGTTTGCTTGGTTCAGAATCTTCTTCCAGTAACCTGTTAGAATAAGCTTTAATTAGTAATTTACTTATGAAGACCTATCAGATATATAAAACTCTACAAAGTACAATAAACAATTTTTGACATCAAGGGATTTATACACTAAAAAAAGTGTGTTGTATTGATGTTTTTACTCATTCAAGAGGTGTCTTTGAACAGATTCTTTTAAGAAATGATGAATTCAGAAAAATATCATCACCTTCATCAAGTTCATGTTAAGTATAAGTTAACATTGGGACTTAAAATGTTACCTTTTGTCCCAGGTTTACACTGATTCCATTATATATGGTGAAAATAGCTTTTATAATGTTGATAAGTATAACCCGTTACTATATATTCATCATATGATTTTTTCTATCCTGAAAATAGCTTTTTAATCTATATTTATAATAATAATTTTATATAGAATTCTATTTTTTTAAACTGACACCCATATATCCTCTTCTTCGAAGTTTGAATACAATGCCTCAATTGAGTATCCTCAAATACTTACGCATACATATTCATGATCTGGGCAGGGCTACAAAATCCACATTGACTCCCATTGTATTTGTCAAGGCGGGACTGTATAGGATGCAAACCACACTTGAGATTCCCTAGACCTTCAATGGTTGTTATTTTATAACCATCACACATATACAGGGGACACAAACACTGTAAAAGAAATAATAAAATAAAAATATAAAAGGCATAATTTTGATTCTATTGAAACTGTGCTATTTCATATTTTAAGTATGTCAGTAATATTTGACTGATATACATATGAGGGCATCCTAAAACTATGTGTCTTAACAATAACACGCCTAAATAATAATTTTCTGGTCACTGCAAGCTGAGCTACTGGATTGTAATGAATGATGAATTAATCGTCACAGAGTTGTTGATTGAATTGTCTTTAAACAACAAACTATTATCTAAATTATCTTCTCTTGCTTAAGTCTGAACAGTCTTACAAAACCTGTGTTGATAATTGAATTTCTCTAAAACATAACAAGTCATGTACTCTTAGATTCATAAATATGTATCAAATCAATGAAAACTGATTTTTTGTGTATATATAAATATCCTATCATTTGACTGTCATCAAAGACAAAATTTCCAATACAAAGATATCAATAAAGATAAAAAAAAAATATCTTACAGAATTTATTGCTTTACTTTCTTCTTTCTTTGTTACAGGATCGAGTTTCGTTGCCACAACAACACATAAGCCACATCCTCCTTCTCTACACATGTACTTAGTTCCGGTTGACAGACGGCTGTCTCGTAGGTACTCATTCAGTGAGGTTGCAGGGTCATAATCATTTCCAACTGAAACATGAAATCAAACTACAAAAAATATAACTATTGGCAGTATCTACATGTACTTAGATATATTGAGCCAGATTCTAGGTCAAATATTAATAATCTGACAAGTAAAATACTGTATATATATCTTGCAAAATAATAATTAAATATACTATGATATATTTAAAGAAGAACAAAGTAGTATGTATGCTTATAGAGGGTTGATGAACCCATTTCCATGCACTAAAATCAGCAGAAGCATGAGGATGCATGCAGCATTTAAGGGCAATAAATTTAGTAAGTCTGACCTGTCTTCTACAGATGGTTATGCATGAAAAAATGTGCATTACCCCTATTCTTGCATAAAAGTATACGCCTAAATTGGTGATGCCCCATTTCATTTTCTGTATTTCATATCAAGAAACCATTGTTTGCTCTCCAATAGAATTTTAATACATGTAATTATGTTTTGATAATAAAACCATTGGGCCGTCATAATGCATTTAGCTGTTTTAGATACATTGTGCCCAAAGTCATGGATATTAAGCAATGTGGAACAACTGGAAGTGGGCAGTTTTATGCAAGAATGTAACTTCATGTTTAAAATGTACTGCCAATGTATAAAGTCAAAAATAGTAATATGTGTCTCAGAATCTTATGTGAGTTTTAATCAAATTAGCAGTACAATTTGTAATGTTATTCAGGTAAGATAAGTGTCCAAGCTGGGTTTTAAGTATTGATAATTTACTTTCCAACACCTTTAGTTAAAATTGATAGGTTTTCTGCAGACAATCATAAATATAAAATTTTGAACAAAACTTTTCCACTTTAGAAATAAACTTTTAAATTTTGTTTAACAACCTAACTAGTTGTATTATATTTTACTACTTAACTGGTTTTGTAATACAGAACTTTACTTTTGTCACTATATGACATGTGACATAATGTTGATTAATAGAGATATGTAAAGTGTTAACTTATGTTTGCATCATGGCTATACAAATTTTGATTTGGTAAACATCTTAAAATGCCATAAAAAAGCAGCATTACAACTTAGAGATGCTTACCTGTGACCTCTTGTCCATTCACAACAAAACTGACCTCTGACCTTACTGGTAAGTTGACCTTGAACTTGAAGAAGTTGCCGCAAGCTCCACAAGTTGTAGCATACACTCCATCATGTAACTCATCACTGGTTGGCAGGTGACTGTTATAAGATATTTAAGAGTTATACTATAGATAGGTATATCTATAAGTAGTGGGTTATTCCCTGGATGTAATGACCTATGAAGATTAGTAATTCCAGACTGTTTAAGAGATAAATTAATCATGTTTACAAGTATATTATTAAAACTGTAATATTATCTTATTTAAACACAAAAAAAAAGATAAAAAAAAAGAAAAGATGTTTGTGTCTTAGGAAAATTCTCACCTCTTGCATAAATGTTGAATTTTCAAACAACACTAAGAGGTATGACTTTCAAATAATTTTCTATAAGTTTGAAATGGAAAAAACTCATATGATAGATTTAACAATTTGAATCTGAGCACATCATAATTGGCAAAACCTTTATTTTAAAGGATTTAACTCAATACAGGATTGGAGCAGTACCTCTAGACGCTTGCAGAAATCATGATCACAAAATAGACAAATATCATTTTTTTCGCCGATTTTTACATTTTCCTTCATTATCTTTCTTAACTCGGTGTGAAAAGATGAATTAGACCTGTTAAAGTTCATTCCGTTGGGTAAAAAGACAGGATTTTAGCATTTTATCATTCAAGCGCCTTGTCCGGTATATACCGGAATACGGTATTTAGTGTGGTGCTCCAATCCTGTTTTTAGTCTCACTCTATTTTAAATGCACATTTAAATTAAACCCAATTTATAACTTTTTTTCTTATATTTTTTTATTATTAACTGGGCAAAAGTTATTATAATAAAACACGTTTTGTCCAATTTTTATAATGTTACAGTACAGTAACCCAGTTATATATATGATGTAAAAAATGAAAAGAAATAAAAATGAGTTAAAATCATTTATACATTATTCATTGGAATTTTGAATAATTTCGACCATGTTATGTTTAAGTTATAATTAATTGTGAAACTGTTTTGAAATATTTCCGCTTTGCTGTGTTTTTTATCTTATAGATCTATACAAGGGGGGTAAATGTGTCCACATTCATTTGAAGCGTCTGCACTCAGTCTCGACAGTTGTCTCCTGTTTAAATCTAAAATATGTACACTTTTGCGCCTGTAAGAGAGTCAAAGGCATTTGAAAATTACATTTTCAAAGCATTATTCACCAAAATCTAAAATGTAAATTAAAAAAAAAACTACATTTCATTTCAGATTTTAGTATTTTAACATCAATTAAGTCAATTGGTTAACTAAGGTCACCTCAATATACCGTACGTTTTACAACAATCGAAACTATTTACCTTGTCTTGCATACTGGACAAGATAGAAATTCGTTTATCTTCTCCATTGCTACTTTGTTAAACAGATGTCATGTTCAAAACAATGGAGAACCGTTGAAAACCGAAGGTCTCTGCAACTGTGAAGTGCATACAATCACATGGCCTTCACCTTAGATCACGTGACCAAAATATTTACATTATCACGTGACATTCATTCTATTTTTAGGAGTCATGTGATCCTTTAAGTTAAATATAGAACTAAACCTGTGGGAATGATGAAATAGTTGTGAAATATAATTGTGAAATATCAACTTTCGGTATAAATACTGGACATTTTAATATAATTCATTCGTGATTAAAAAATTTGACTACGAAGGTATGTTATTTTTTCTTTAATTAAATATATTTTATATTTAATTATTTAGATATTTACGATTGAGGTGTAGATCTAGATAAAATAATCTTGATTTTTTTAGTTGAAACAAGTTAATTTATGTGGTTTCCTGTAAATTCAACAAAATTTCCAAACAGGATTCGAACCAACGGTCGTCATCAAACTTAAAGCATACTCTTAGCTTGTTTCGTTTCATTCCTTATATAGATTGTTTTTTATCTTTACAGATGGAATAAAAAGACATAACAGTAATCAACTATTTTACCTGGCAACTGCTCGTTGCTAGGGAAAACTTACAAGTAATATCATTTAAAATGTATAGTTGCTAAGCACTAGCAAATGCATGGAAATGAAGAATTATGAAATGTGACAACGGATATATGACAATGAAGATTGGAAATCTTTTTGAAGAATGAAAATATTGTGTTTTAAACAAATTAATTAAGATGATAAGATCAGCTTGATCTTATCAAGGAAGGACTGGATAATGAGGCTGAATGGATAGTTGATCTGTCAAAAGAACTTTGTTTGAGACTTTTACATTCTTTCATTATGAGCACCCCAGTTCTTCGGAGTCTGGGGCAACACTCACCTTCACTACGGCATCAGGACAACCCTCGTCCCTGCTCCTGCGGGCCCGCCTGGAGTTTCTGGGCATGGCCAGGAGTGGGGACTTGAACATCTTCTTGGAAATATCAAATCTATCTGGACTCTCAATGGGCATGATGAAACCACAGGGCTTGCCAGATGATGTGCTTTCTGATATAGATGATACCAACCAACAAAGCATGTCAAATAAAAATATAGTAAACCCTGTAACAAACTGTATGGAACCCAACAGCAGGTCAGTTTTATCTCAAGAAAATATTTCAACAGTCATAGACAGGTCTTCTTCTGGCAACATACGCAAAGTATCATATATCTTCAATGAAAATACTAAGAATGTTAATAGTCTTCTAGAACAGCACAAAATTCCTTATGAAACTGAACTATACAAGCCGAGAGAGCAACGTCAGACAGTCAGTTCTAATATATTCTATTGTAAAAATTTATTTCTCAAGGACAGAAAAGGACAGTTTTATTTAGTCATTTGTCATGAAGAGTACAACATAGATCTTAAACAGCTTCGAAAGACTTTAAATGCCAACAGAAATTTCAACTTTGGAACAGCAGACGACATGAAGGAAATTCTCGGAACTGAACCAGGGGGTGTCACTCCATTAGCATTGATGAATCCTACTGCAGCCAATGTGAAAATGGTTATCCACAAAAGTCTAACAAAAGAGGACTCTTCACTGATGTTTCATCCTCTAGATTTAAAGTTAGCAACTAAAATTACCTTACCAAGTTTACTAAGATATTTAAAGTCATGCAATCATACAGTTACCTTTGTTAAATGAACAAAGACCTCTATCATTAAGCAATACTGTCATTTAAATTTCTATCAAAATAAAATTTGAACACAAAATATGAAATAAATGTAAAAAACTATGGCTTATTACTTGTATCTATTTTGAACAATGCCTTACATCCCATTTAATATTATAATTTGCACAACTGTGTATGTCTTGAAATTTTGCCAGATTTATCTTCACTTAATTAACAAAGTGTACAGCATGCTTTTTGTTGAAGATAAATGGAAGGGCAGCAGCATAACCCCTAAACAGTTTGTTGTGTAACTTCTTAAAATATTTACAATCCCTATTTAAATGCCCTGTCATTCAATACATGTCCTTGGTCAGAATTCCAAATTATACACATGTTTTTTTCCATACTCAAGAAATTTTTTTTCTGTGTCATGTCAGAGATTTTATGTGTTATATTATTTCCGGTAGTGTTGAACATGTTGTAAACAACAAGTATCACATGACCCAGATGGGACATTTTTGTAGATGTATTCAATGTACATCTCTCAATAAAATTTATAAAGGCTGTATAAGAAAGTGTAAAAAATCCTATATTTTGCACCAGTGTCCATGACCAAAGTGGCAACTAACTTCTTACATGGCTTTGTTAATAGGTTATAAAGAAGTTTCATGTTCACCACATCATTTTGATTTAAGACAAAGATTAAATATGACTTGAAATGAGTACTAAAGACATTTATGCGGTGTCACAGTAGAATATGTACATATTTAATAAGTCAAGGGTTATAAAATATTTATGACTAATATATAGAGGATATTGAATGAGTGTAAGTTTAATACTGAATTTATTGCACGAGTTGGATAATATTATTTTATTCAACGAGTGTAATAAATTCAGTAATGAACTTGCACGAATTTAATATTCTATTTATCACATGCCCAAAATAAAGACAGTTTAAAGTGAAATAACAGTCATTTTTCATTGACGCGCCTATAGTATAACGCTAACATTTAGCGCGTCTTTACACTATGTTTGTATATAACGCTAATGACGTCACGTCAAAATATATGCACGGCCGTGCAATACCATATTTACGGAGTCGCAAAATCGGCACGGGTGTGTGATAAATATAAATATTAAGTTTTAAATTTCAAGTTTCACAAACCTTTGAGTGATTAAACTCTTTTTTGCAAGACAAATATGCCATGCATCACTGAGACCTATGATGGTAAAGGGTCTCTAATTATTTGTCAGACAAGCTTTTAGTGGTCTACCTGACGACCTTGATGTTTGACCACAAAATCAATAGCAGTCATCTACTCCACACCTTATCACACTGTAGACCCATGCACTGTTGGTTCCACAAGAGATGACCTGCTGATCAACACCATCACAGTATGCTCCCATTTTTAGTCATGAAAAGGGCAGTAACTAAAACATTATGCCAATGAGGATTAAAGGTGTTAGACACTCAAGTAACTTCTAAATGAGATCTATCTAAGTTGATACCTGCAATACCTTTTGAGTTATGCCCAGGATGAAACATAACAAACTAGACCTGCCACTGTCATGGCATGAATACCCCTGCATACCCCTTTGTGAGAATCAACAGTGGCCATTTAGAGCTCAAGGACAACCTCCCTGCCAACTCTAAGGTTACTATTAGCCAGTGCATTGCTTAGTTATGTATTCTACATGCTTCAAATGTCAAAATCAATACACTGTGAACGGCATTCTTAAGCATTTGAGCAGACAAGCTTATTTTTAGTAACAAGAGCGATCAGTAATCACATGTGTCGCCTCATGATGGCCAATTTCATGTTGGGACAAATTTTGTGACAGACGGACAGACAGTGCACAACTAGACTTGGTACTGATCATTCCTGTAAAGTTTGGATAAAATTGCACCAGTAGTTTATGAGGAGTAGTGCGGACAAGCTTTTGCGTATCTGGCAACACACAGAAAAAAACACCTTTTTATCAAAGGGCCATAACTCGGCCAAAAATATTTCAACCAGAAAACCCGTGCAATATGCGCAAGGACTTGAGCTACAGATCAATCTTGTAAAGTTTCATTGAAATTGCATTAGTGGTATAAGAGAAGTAGTCCGGACAAACTTTAAAAATAAAAATTGTTAAAGGGCCATAACAAAAATCATTGAACCGGAAAATGCTGACAATATGCACTAGACTTGGTACTGATCATTCCTGTAAAGTTTGGATGAAATTGCACCAGTAGTTTATGAGGAGTAGTCCGGACAAGCTTTTGTGTATCTGGCAACACACAGAAAAAAACACCTTTTTATTAAAGGGCCATAACTCGGCCAAAAACCATTCAACCAGAAAACCCGTGCAATATGCGCAAGGACTTGAGCTACAGATCAATCCTGTAAAGTTTCATTGAAATTGCATTAGTGGTATAAGAGAAGTAGTCCGGACAAACTTTAGAATTAAAAATTATTAAAGGGCCATAACTCTGACAAAAATCATTGAACCGGAAAATGCTGACAATATGCACAACTAGACTTGGTACTGATCATTCCTGTAAAGTTTGGATGAAATTGCACCAGTAGTTTATGAGGAGTAGTCCGGACAAGTTTTGTGACGGACGGACGGACAGACAGACAGATGACGGAGAAGTGATCCCTATATGTCGCCACTACTCCGTAGAGGCGACACAAAAATCCCTGTGACCTTGACCTTTGACACAGTCACCTAACTAGAAATGTGTCATCATGCCACGGATGCCCCCGCATGCAGCCAAATTTCAGATGGTGCATCGATTATTTTTTTCATTTTAAGTTCAAAGCCCTTAAAACTTTTCAATGTTAACACAAACCATTTTCATACAATGTTCAAGGCACTGAAATTATTCAGTCTTAACCTTTTAAAAATAGCATATTAAATATTTGTAGCCAAAATAATGGCTAAAAGTATGAGTGTTGAAACTGAAAGTTCAAAATTTTTCCAACATTCAGGAAAGATAAGTTTGTCTAAAATCATTGAACCACAACCAAATTCAAACCTAAACTGCTTATTCCTAAGATGTATCTATATTATTTTCAAAGTGAAAGGGACATAACTCTGCAAAAAAAAATCATCAAACCATGACCAAATTCGAACTTGACCTGCCCATTCCTTTGACATATCCATATGTCAAATTTAAGTTGAATATGTAACACTGTTGGGTAGATAATGAACAGAAACTGTAAATTTCATATTATTTTCAAAGTGAAAGGGGCATTACTCTGCCAAAAATCATTAAACCATGACCAAATTCGAACTTGGCCTGGGCATTCCAAAAACATATCCATATGTCAAATTTGAGTTGAATGTGTTGTACCATTGGGAAGATAATAAACGGAAACTGAAAATTTCATATAACTTCAAAAGTGAAAGGGGCATAACTCTGCCAAAAATCATTGAACCATGACCAAATTTGAACTTGACCTGCGCATTCCTTTGACGCATCCATATGTCAAGTTTGAGTTGAATGTGTTGTACCGTTGGGGAGATAATGAAAGGAAACTGAAAATTTCATATTATTTTCAAAGTAAAAGGGGCATAACTCTGCCAAAATCATGGAACCATGACCAAATTCAAACTTGACCTGTATTTTCTCATAACATATCCATATGTCAAGTTTGAGTTGAATGTGTTATACCGTTAGGGAGATAATAAACGGAAACTGAAATTTCATATTATTTTCAAAGAAAAAGGGGCATAACTCTGCCAAAAATCATCGAACCATGACCAAATTCAAACTTGACCTGTATTTTGTCATGACATATCCATATGTCAAATTTGAGTTGAATGTGTGCAACCGTTCTTAAGATAATGAACGGAAACTGATGATGACGGAATGACAGAATGACGGAATGACGGAACAGGGTAACACTATATGCCCTGGCCATTACATGGCGGGGGCATAAAAATCAATAAGGGTTATCAGTTAGTCATAACAATCTCAATACCAAATATGAAAACTGTTGACCAAAGCATTCCTAAGCATTTGAGCAGAAAAGCTTTTTTTAAGGCAAGGCCTGTGACCTTTGACCTCAAAATAAATAGGGGTCATCTACTAATCATGACTAACCTCCATGCTAAATATGAAGACCGTGGGTCAAAGGAATCTTAATTTATTGGGAGGACAAGCTTTTTTTAACTAAGGCCACTGTGACCTTGACTTTTGACCTGAAAATCAATAGGGGTCATCTAATGGTCATGGCCAACCTCCATGCCAAATCTGAAGACTGTAGGTCAAATGAATCTTAAGTTATTGGGCAGACAAGCTTTTTTAGTCAATGGCCCTATGACCTTGAGCTGGTGACCTCAAAAGCAATAGGGATCATCTACTAATCATGACCAATCTAATACCAAATATTAAGACTATGGGTCAAAGGAATCTTTTAAGTTATTGTGCGGACAAGGAAAAACCAATGGATGGAAGGACGGACGGACTGACGTCCAGATGGCCGGACAGAGAAGCTGATTCCAGTATACCCCCACTTACAATTCGTTGTGCGGGGGTATAAAAACCTGGCTCAAGTATAACTACCTTAAATCTGTTGTTCAGGAGTATAATTAATTGAGTGTATCATCAACAATGTTTCACTACAATGATTTTATTTTCATGAATAAATTAAATACAAGATTTTTCAAATACATTTTTATGTTTGACACAACTTTCTAATGATGTTTTAATAGAAAATACAGTCATGTATCAGAGAAGTTGAAGATCTCAAATCCATTTTTCACACTTGATAGCACTTGACCGACATATGTAAAATTTGAATTTACATGGGGGGCAAATGAAACATTTGGCTTTGACAACTTTCTCCATCCATCAGTCAATCTGTTGTCAGTCTTTACATCAAATAGACCTCACACTCCCATTTAATTTGTATCAACTATTTAAAAACACAAAATATCATGGAACATTATTTAAGTCACATTTTCTACTACGATTTCTGCTGAACGAACAACTAAATAAATGTCAATACATGTGAAAGTTTACAAAAGCCAAATATTTCACCTGCCCCCCACATTACGAAGTTGAATACTTAAAGCACTGTTGATAATTTCTTTTAATACGGAGACTCATGATATTAAATGTTACAGAAAATTCAAAACCGTCCCCGCTCAATAATTTCAAGATTGTAATTCTAATCTGTATCACTGGAAAGCTTTTACCAGTAACACAGTCAGTAGGAGCTTGACAACAATTTGATTAAATCTGGGTGTAATAGATGCTCTTTGATTACTACTGTGCACTCTGAGCCTGCTGAGCTTGCATGATTTCCAATGCTCGTAGACTGGTTTGTACATTAGACAAGTTTGTTTGCCACTTTATAAGTTTCTGATGGAGGAGTTGCCAGTGTTGTCGTCCAAACGTGCGGTGTGTGGTAGATGTTATGACAACCTTCTTCTGAAGCTGGTCGATTTTGACTTGAACGGCACGAGTCTTCACCACTGGAAAGAGATGTTTTTATTTATGAATTGAAGTTATCTATGGCCAGAAACCATCAGTAGTTTATAAATCTAGCAAGCATTGTCATTCTTTGTATCTTACAAAAATTAAGGAAGAGTTTGGAGACAATAATATTTACTTATTTCTACTTGTATATCGAAGCTACAAAAGAATTGAAAGAGAAGAAAAGCACTAAAACTTTGAACACTAGAGGCAACAAGAACTTGCCTTTACACCCAATATTAATACTACCTGACAAGTCTCCATACTGATGGACGCTGAAGTGTTTGATATATCAAAGAGCAAAATTCTAAATAAACACAGGAAATTTTTTATTATGCAATAAAGGCAAGTAAAAGTTTAAGCTTTTAAATATGCCTTTTTTCACAAGTGAAGTTTATGATGGAATGTTTTCACAAAAAGCTTTAGTTTTACCATTGCCTGATAACATTGGGCAGACTAAATTTGACTCCAATAAGCATAAAATATCTAACATGGTTCCATTTATGTCACAATGACATTATAAAGATCAAATGGCAATTCTACAGCTTTTCTGATAGAAGAAGACCTGAGATTGCTTTTGCTTTAGGTATCCTACTAGAACCAACAACATTCAATATGCAAGCTTTATAACTGCTTCACATGAAAGAAACCAAAGTCTGTGGGAAAAGACTAACCTACAGCTTTGAGATATTTGAAATCTGCAATCTTTACTGCTTTGTGATAGAGATCTATTAGCTATAAAAACCTTAAATAATGTTTCAAAAGAAAAAAAATCAATTTAGATAATCCCTGACAAGTATGTTTTAAGTCGACAATTTGAAGGCAGCATTAAATAATACAGTACCATCTATTATAAAATTCTCGACTTCACTCTCCGGCATGTCCATCTCTTTCTGTATACTCTCATACTCTATGTCCTTCTTTGTCTCTGCCATATGCATGAACGTCAACAGTCTCATCTTACGTAGATTCTCATCATGTGACAATCCTGTAACCAATAGAAACAAGATTATGTCACTCATGTTGATATCATATAGTTGTAATCAGGATTATCACTGACCCGCTGGATAAAAAGTAAATACCCTCTGTCACCAATATGGAGCCTCACTACCCTGCATATCTCCATGGCTCTTATTTGATGGCTGACTGAATTATAGTTTTCATTATCATACCTTCAAAATTTATTTCTTTTTTTTTTCTTTTCATTTTTTGTTGGGTTTAACATTACATCCTACCAACACAGTACAGGCCACTTTCCGGCTTGACTGGTGTCCCTCTGTGCATATTATCAAGCACAAACAGTATCCGGAGTAGAACCACTAACGTTTGCATAAACTAGCTGGAAAGCTTCCTCACATATCATCCTTGTTTTTTTAATTTAAATTTCTTTCTCTATCTTGAACTGTTTTGTATGGAGTGTGAAATAGAATTTAGTATATAAAACACCAAATTCCTTAGAGTCTCCATTTATTCTTGCATCATCGATTTTCTACATTGAACCAGAATAGTTCTACATAGATTTTTCATGATGCTACTTTACCACTTAAAAGGAGATCAAATATTTCAAATGACCATTATTTGATAAAAAGTTTAATTGTTGTCATGAATTATTCTTCCTGATATACCTATTTTTATTACTCCAAAATTTTCCAATGGATTTTCCATAGAAATGAAAAAGGCTGTCTTCAGTCATCAATTGGGGAAAGAGGGAAAGGTGCTGGAAGGGTAGTTGATACAGTCAAAGTTGAACAACAATTACTTAGAGGGAGAGGTGCTGGAAGGGTAGTTGATACAGTCAAAGTTGGACAACAATTACTATGTTTAAATTATGACATGTACATGTATATGGAGTGTGAAATAGAATTTAGTATATAATCAACAAAATTCCTTAGAGTCTCCAGTTATTCTAGCATCACTGATTTTCTACATTGAACTTAAAATGTTCTACATAGATTTTACACGATGCTCTTCCACTGCTTTTTTATAACAGTCTCATAAATTGTTAAAAAATATATTTAATCTTTTTTTCCCTGCAATAATCTGACAAAAACTTGAAAACTGAAACTTCAAAATTACATGCACTACTATTTATAGTTCAGAGGTGTCATATATTGTTTGTTTCTTTCCAATTAAATTAATTTTATTACTCAAATAGATACAAACAGAACTGTTCCCTAAGAGATGAAGAACACTGTTGGGAACAGAGGGAGAGGCAGAAGGTAGTGGGGCAGTCCAAATAAGAGTAAGCAATGTGTATGTTTTAATTAATGTATATGAAGTGTGAAATAGAATTAAGTATATATAATGTACCTAATTCCTTAGAGTCTCCAGTAATTATAGCATCACTGATTTTCTACATTGAATTAAAAATGTTCTACATAGACTTTTCATGATGCTTTTTCTTTTTTATTGCATTACATTTCTCACTCCTATTTAAGTCAATTTTATATTTTCCTTCTTAAGATAGGTTCAATACAACATTTCTCAAAAAAGTGGTGTCCAAAAATTACAATAACTATAAAACATTATAACTAAATAGTTCTCACAAAGGGGCAGATGTTTGTGGGACGGTCAGAACATAAGTCAATGCCTAATGTTAAAGCTGGTGATCGAAAACTCCCAATGGTAGCTTCCATTCACAAGAAAAATTTCTAAGAGACTGAGCAGCAAAATGTGACCTGGTCATAGAATTTATCAGTCATTCATCCTCTGATAACTTTTTTGATCCAAGCAAAGCTTATGTATGAAGTGTGAAATAGAATTTAGTATATAAAACACAAAATTCCTTAGAGTCTCCAGTTATTCTTGCATCATTGATTTTCTACAGAGAACAAGTGTGTGAAGTTTCAATCCATTCCCTTCAGTAGTTATGGAGATACCAGCTTACATGCAAAAACTTTTCTAAGTCGAAAAAGGGCATAATTATGTTTAAAAAGCAAAAATCAGAGTTATGGGACTTGTGCCAATCATCTTAGATAAATCAACAGAGAAACAAGTGTGTGAAGTTTTCAATCCATTCCCTTCAGTAGTTATGGAGATACCAGCTTACATGCAAAAACTTAACCAAGAATTTCTAAGTCGAAAAAGGGGGCATAATTATGAAAAAAAGCAAATCAGAGTTATGGGACTTGTGCCAATCATCTTAGATTATCACAGAGAACAAGTGTGTGAAGTTTCAATCCATTCCCTTCAGTAGTTATGGAGATACCAGCTTACATACAAAACTTAACCAAGAATTTCTAGTCGAAAAAAGGGCATAATTATAAAAAAAAAGCAAATCAGAGTTATGGGACTTGTGCCAATCATCTTAGATAATCACAGAGAACAAGTGTGTGAAGTTTCAATCCATTCCCTTCAGTAGTTATGGAGATACCAGCTTACATACAAAAACTTAACCAAGAATTTCTAAGTCGAAAAAGGGGCATAATTATGAAAAAAAAGCAAATCAGAGTTATGGGACTTGTGCCAATCATCTTAGATAATCACAGAGAACAAGTGTGTGAAGTTTCAATCCATTCCTTCAGTAGTTATGGAGATACCAGCTTACATACAAAAACTTAACCACAGGGACGCCGACGCCGACGCCGACAAATGGGTGACTGCATTAGCTCGATTATTCTGCGAATAGTCGAGCTAAAAAGTGGTGTCCAAAAATTACAATAACTATAAAACATTATAACTAAATAGTTCTCACAAAGGGGCAGATGTTTGTGGGACGGTCAGAACATAAGTCAATGCCTAATGTTTAAAGCTGGTGATCGAAAACTCCAATGGTAGCTTCCATTCACAAGAAAAATTTCTAAGAGACTGAGCAGCAAAAATGTGACCTGGTCATAGAATTTATCAGTCATTCATCCTCTGATAACTTTTTTGATCCAAGCAAAGCTTATGTATGAAGTGTGAAATAGAATTTAGTATATAAAACACAAAATTCCTTAGAGTCTCCAGTTATTCTTGCATCATTGATTTTCTACATTGAACGAAAAATATTCTACATAGATTTTTCATGATGCTTTTTCATGAAGCAAAAACTCAAATTCAAGACTAAAACCAAAGTTAGCGAGTTTACAGATTATACTTTAAATAAACCTTTAATCTGCAGGAATCTGGCATTCTAACATGCTGCCGCCCTTTATTGTTGGTACATCAATTTGTGTACTTGAGATATTGAAATCCTATGAACTTTGCAAGCATTCTTTCCAATATGAAGTAGGACAAAGCCATTTTATAAATTCTGCAGATCAAGGGCTTAGAACGGGAGAGAGAAATGATTTTGCTCATGCTTTGGTACATACAGAAGGGAAATAAATTCAAACCCATACAACAGTATGTAATTACAAGTCCATTACATTATTAACAAAAATACAAATTGAATCATGTTAAAAGTTATGTATGGAGTGTGAAATAGAATTTAGTATATAAACACTAGATTCCTTAGAGTCTCCAGTTGTTCTAGCATCCCTGATTTTCTACATTGAACTAATAATGTTCCATATAGATTTTTCATGATGCCTTTTTATATAAATAACTTACAGTTGAAAATTCTTCATTCAATCACCCATTAGACAGATTAAATCATATCTAAATTATTGTGTAAAGTGCAAAACAGAATCTACCTTTACTCAAATTCAAAACTAATTGCGAACGCTAAGCATCTGAATAAAGTTTATTCAAATTACCCCAGTTTTTATCCCTTCACAATGTGATTCTCATTGATAGACGCTGCCTCCATGGTTTTGTTTTTTGTTGTTTTTTTGTTAGCTGTGATTTTTGTGGTAGGTAGTGGGAAGGGAAACAAATCTTTTTTTTTTCAGGGCTTTCTTTACCATCCTTTCAATTACAAACTTCTATAATTTTTTGGGGCACTTTTTTTATTTTAAAATTATTAATTATTGTACATGAACGGTCAAGGTTTTTTTTCCATTTACTTCTTCCAACCTCTTTCACTATAGATGGATTGGGGTGGAAGAGCATAACTTTTAAGTATATTAGTAAAACAGGAGCTCATATGCCATCAACAAGCTGATCATCAACAACATTTACACAAATATTACAGAAAAGTTTACATGTTAACTTGATTAACAAATATGCTTCAAGCTTGTTTGGAGGGTGAAATAGAATTAAGTATATAAAACACCAAATTCCTTAGAGTCTCCAGTTATTCTTGCATCATCGATTTTCTACATTGAACTAAAATTGTTCTACATAGATTTTTCATGATGCTCTTCCACCACTTATAAGTTTTAAGGTGTTTCAGGCAGTCCAATTTGAACAACAATTACTTTGTTTAAATTATGACATGTACAGGTATATGGAGTGTGAAATAGAATTTAGTATATGAAACACCAAATTCCTTAGAGTCTCCAGTTATTCTAGCATCATTGATTTTCTACATTGAACTAAAAATGTTCTACATAGATTTTTCATGATGCTGTAATACATAACAGTTCACTGGAAATCTTTGTTTCAGGGTGGTCTCAGTTAACTTTATACTCTTAAATAGTATTTTATAAACATAGACAAGATTTTAGATCACACATCAAGGAATAAATAAACAGATACTTAAATTATGTTCAGGTGCACAAGTCTACATCCAATTGGCACACCACAATTTTTATACAAATTTTCATAGAAGTATATATAGACATCAGATTAACAAGTTGTTTGAAGTGTGAAATAGAATTTAGTATATAAAACACCAAATTCCTTAGAGTCTTCAATTTCTCTTGCATCACTGATTTTCTTCATTAAACAAAGAAATGTTCAATATAGTTTTTTTCATTATGCTTTTTTTTACAAGGCAAATATGGGCTGCTATAGAGGGCAAATATGGATGTCTCTAAAAGCCAAAAGCAAAATTTTTGGCTTTTTATAAGTTTAATATAGCCATTCAAGCAGAATATGAGCAATTCTTCCAGCAAAATATTGGCCTGGCAATTAGATACTATAGTATTTTGAAAAAAAAAAAATATTATCTAAACATAGAGAACCATAGAAATTATATAGAAACTATTGTGTAATATTTACCTAGTGAGTTGATGAAAGGTTTGTTATTCTTGTAGAACTGTTGGTAGTCGGACAACTTCCCAGACACAAAAATTGTCAGCAGCTGTACAAATAGTAATTATATATTTAAGTTCCTTATTTGAACTTGGAAAGAAACTTGTTAAAAAGTATAAGACTGTATTTGGGCTGTCTGAAGTTGCCACAGAAGAATTGTTAAAAGTACCTATTCTTGAAGCATTATATGTAAAACAATAGCTGTAAGTAAGACTGCATGCTCAACTACATCAACTGTTTTGATAGTAAAACAAAAGCCTGGATAATGTAGAACTTAATAAGTTCAAAAAGAGCCATTACATTGTCAAAATTCAAGTTACAACTACGAGCATGTAACAGTGACCTCCCATTATGTTCTCAAATACGTGTGTGAAGTTTCAACCCATTCCCTTTGATAGTTTTGTAGATACCAACTTGCACACAAAAACTTAAGTGGGACGCCAACCCCTGGGTGAGAACAATCATCAACCCCTCTTAAAAGAGCTATGGAATATTAACTGAGCAAGGGAATATTCTTTCTGTTTATTATTTCAGGAACTTTTTGCAAGTGTATGCTGTCAATATAATTGCTTACAGTATTTATTCTGCGAAAACAGGGAAACTTACATCATGTATTGGTGCTCCTTCTAAAAATTTTACTGGTTTCAATGTTAAAAGATGATCGAACAAGAATGTGTTGGGGTCTTCTAGACAGGTCACTATACATCTACAAACAAAAAAAATATACGTTTTAGAAACAATGGTCTTTTCATAACATCAATTCTGCCATATCAGCCAATTAGAAATCATTTTAATCAAACATTAATCCTTAACCTATAGTCTACTGACTGCCACTATATCTACTGAAGCAACAATTGCAGACAAGCTCAACAGGCACATCCATGCCTTCTGACCATGGTCTGCATTGTTTGCTATTCAGTCAGAACATGCCTTTAAAATTTCCCTAAAAAATGATGAATGTTTTTTTTTCTCAGATTGAAATATGGACAAGTCCATATAAGATATTTAGCACGTTAATGGTTGAAATGCTAGCAGGAACAATGTTTTGTCTATGTCACCCACCAGTCAACAGTTTGGCAAAGAACTGATTTTAATCAGATTGCAATTAGGCCAGTTTACAACCTAACCAGGGTCTAATGTTGGCTGCTCAATTCTATGATTCTGATAATGCAATCCCTAAAATTATTTATTTACTTTTCTGATTCAGGGTAAGTCTATAATACAAAGCTATCTGGGATAAAGCATATCCCCATGCCATTTTCTTTTGAAATTATGAATCACAAGCTTCATGAATATATAGCACTCAGTCCAAAACTGGTTGCTTGTTTGGCTTCACGCCAATTTTAACATAGTTACACTGTTAGTCATTTCATGACTGTCCTTCCATTAAACTTACTTCTTTGATAACTAATTACCAGTAATTGCCAATTTTTCAACAACTGCCCTACTACTAATTCTGCAGGATTTCTGAATGAAAGGTGAGAGACAAATGATCATTCGATTCAATGTCACACTGACATTTTGCCTCGCCTAAAATCAAACCCGCAAACTCTTGCATTCCGATGCAATCTCTCTATTGAACAAGGTTAAAGCATTAAATGTATACAGAATATAGCATTCACTTATTTTCTCAAGTTTTATACAATTGTTAAATTATGAAAGACAGAAAAATAAGGTACCTTTGTGCATCATCCCTGGCTTGTGAAGCATTGTCTTCAGTATATGTACCTAGTAATTCTATCATTACTTTTGTTGCATGTTCACTGAAAAAAAGACACAGCTCTTTTAGTTTATACAGAACTTATTTTAGTTTGTGTAGGAATCTATAAGCTTATAGAACAACTCTTGAATCTGTTCCTGGAAACAAACAACCAGTACTGAGCAATGAATGCAAATTTTTTTGCTCAAGAAAAAAAAAACAGCTTTTCACCAACAGGGTTTGAACTCTCATAACTATGTATCCTTAGATTACTAGCAACTTGTCCATGACACTTTTTGTAAGACCTTTCACTTGAACTAGTTAATCAATTACCATTACATTTGTAATAGCCTATTCAACGTCCTTGAGTTATTTGTTATTACAAAGGAATTATAACAATAGATGAAAAATACATTTGTTTATTAATTTTGTTAAATTTCATAGACACACTGCCACATTCCAGCTGAACTTATATGGTAAAAGCACCAATTGTACATTGATGCACTGGTTCAGGCATAAGCCATCATATCTTTAATCTATATCCTTTTGTTAAATTGATTGAGAAAAATCACATAACAAACCTATTTCTGGCAGCTATCAATGTTTCATGTAAGGCCCTGTACATATTCTGTACTTTCTTTGTACCTATATCCCACTCAGAGATCCATTTTTTTACCTACATAAATGTGTAAAACAAGACCTTTATGATACATATACACAATCTTCAGAAGTATCAATAGATAGTTTCTAAAAAAATCTTAAACGCTTGGGTATAAAATTGTCTGCAAATCTGCAGCTTATAGCTAGTAGAATTTGAGTCAGTCCAGGAACTTACTGCTCCCTGCTTATATGTGCAATAATCATTTTATTTGAGTGTAACACTATGTTTCAGCTCAAAATCTGTTGATATCCTACAAATCATAAATGAATTATAACTTAAGCTTTATAAAGACAAAATCATCAGTAAGATTGAATGCGAGAATTACTACGGTCATTTTTGTGTGCATATTCAAATTAATACAACTATGTTTTACCTGGTCTAGATCTGTTATAACCATAGATGCAAGATCTGCATCCCTTGATAACCTTAACAGACTGAGGTAAACATCTGCCTTCAAGTGAGACTTGTCTTCTAAACCATGGAAAAGGTTTGATAATCTGTAATATCAACAATGAAACCTGTATAAGATTTACATACCAAAAAATATATGTATATATATTTATTTATTTATATATGATATATGTTTAATGCCTACAAAAACTTTTTTTCCCATGAAATTTCAGCAAGACTTGCTTAAATTACATGGGTAAAAAGGTAATTTTTTTTTTCTCAGAAACAGTAATTAACTCTACGCTAGAATATTTTTCTTTCAATAACAGGGGTCTTTTACAAACTTCTCTCATTCAAAAAAATCTTTTTTAAATACCTAAAAGTATATCTATATACATATTGCCAAAATACTTAGTAGTATCAGGCTCTCCCCAGGACATATTCAGGACACTTACATCCTTAATCTAATACTGCCTTTCTTGTCACCTTTAGGGCAGTCTGCAAGCTTTTTACAAAACAAATGGACTGGTTCTTCATTTAGTTCAGCTGGTATCAATAACATCATAGATATTATACCATTAAACACCATCTCCAAATCTGAAAGAAAGGAAGAGTTACTGTGTTACTGTTTATACAATATTTAATGAATAACCTACAAGTTTATTGAGACAGGATTTTTCCTCTCTGGTAATGTTCAGATAGAAAATTTGGAAATTTAACCAAAACTAATTATGAGATCTTATTGTTTATCAAATCTTTTTTGTTCTGTCTTATTTCAGGGCCTTTTCACTAGTTTTGGGGAAGGCACCCTAGCCCTTTTTGTGGGGAAAAAATGCGCGGTTTTCATACTTTTGGGGAAAAAAATTATATTTTCCACTGGCAGTTTAACCACTATTACTATAAATAAAGACTTATTTAAATCATACATTTGGGGGAAATATCATAATATATTTGCATATTTTCCTCCAAACACACTTTATTTTGGAAGCTTTCTGTCTAACATAAGTTAAAGGGATTTTTTTACAGATCAATTTATTGCCACTTTTTATTTGCCCAGAATACATTGATTCATATTTCCTAATTTACGTAGGACATGTGAGGGTTCTTGATTTGATTCAGATGAACATTATTATCAGTTCCCACCATATCACTATTACTGGCAGTGTTGTGCTAGACTCGCTATTTCCAACACTTGGGCATGTTGTGCTACTCAGACACACGAACTTGCGAGTGGATACATGTATTGGATTCTCTTGCACTTACAGGAAGGTCAACAATTTGTCCAATTTTTCATAAACAATTACAAATGTCACTCAATCGTATTTTCTTCTTGTTTACATTTGTGACATCGTAAATAGGTCGCCGTATTGTCGTAAAAAATCCATGTGTGCATTAAAATAAGGCAGCGGGTTTTCCCATGTTGCAAACTCAGACCGAGGCAGCGAGTTAACATCAATTGTATTGAATCGAGGTATCCCTCTTGTGGGTAATTGAATAATTAACTTTCATTGGACAAAAACAATGATCTATTTTTAAACAAGAAAATTTGTTTACAAGTTTTTTTTTCGATTTAACATTTCTCTGAAAGGGAAAATCTTCTCAAGAAGGGGAATTTTAGACTGTTTTAGGGGAAAAAAGGTAGTAAGTTAGCTTGGGGAAGTAGCCGAATACCGGCTACAGCAAAGAAGGGTAAAAAGGCCCTGTATTTCTACATGAAAATCAATTGAATGATATTGAAATCAGTTTCAAGATTAGTTTAAAATCATCATATATCACTAAAATGATAATAGCCTTAATGGATGGTAATAAGCTACAAAAAATTAATGTGTTCTGTCCTCTTCATATCAAATAATGTTGAAGTTGTACATCTGTTCTCAGTCTGTAGTTTGATATGCTGTGAGTAAACTTCATACTAAAATATTATGTATTATATATGCTTTTAAGTTTTATTCTATCCATTCTCTTCACATTACCAACACTACACTAAATGTTTACATGCTGTTGTGCCTTTTTTCTCTGTGACCAACAACAATGTATTCCTATACATGTTACAGGGCAGTCTGATAGAGACTACCATTTTTAAGCTATATCAAATGAGCTAGATGGCTTCACTTAATAAGTGAACAGCTTTATACTCCCCCATTATATAATACTGAAATTTAGTTTTTAATTGTTTATGGTAAGAGAAATTCTTTGCAGTTATATACCATTTAACAGTCCCCAGTTGGGCAGAAAATGTCACAGGGAGAGGGAAATGTGCAGCCTAACTGGAACTTACAATGATGTTGTATGAGCCTTGAAATACGATCTTTGCAGCTTTACCAACTAAGCTTTTGGACTTTTTACACATTTTCCTGCTAACAAGTATTTAAGTATTATACCATTACATATTATATAATCCCAGCAACAATATTTTGCAGAGTTTCATTTCTGCTAGGAATTTACTGTATAGTTCCATTTCTGCTAGCAATTTACTGTATAATATAAATATCCAGATCTACCTGTTTCTGAATTGATTTCCTTCCAGCAGACATCACTGGCCTCTATACAATTTAACAAGTCTTTAACATTATCTTCCCCACTGCTTTCTGGGATGTTGCCACCTAATTCTTTCAAATATGAACGCAATTCATTTGTCTGAAATAAAAATATACATGTTAATAAAACTGATCACAGAAAAAACAATTCCTTCAGCACAAATATGTCATAAATCAGCTTTTCCAACAATATTAAAAACATCTGGGGAAAAAAAAACTAGAAGTATGGCCATAGGACATAGCTCATTTCCAAACATTCCTGAATGGCAGATTATGCGATGGATGGACAAGAGCAAATCTATGTGCCCACAGCGTCACCATTATTCTAACAAAAATAACAGCAATGTATACAACTTGATGACAATGATTCTAAGAGAAAATTTAAAATTCACAGAAGGAAAGTGCCAAAATGGTGGGATACAGTATCATCAGTATATTTTTCAAGTCTTGTGAGTTGCCCAGGATCCATTAAATTGTGAAAATAGTCCTATTTTAATATACTGTTAATATCTACCAATTAATTGCAAAAAATAGTAACTATATGTCATATTGTGTATGAAATGCCTTGTTTTATGATGACCTATAGAACAAAGTGTCATAGTCTCAGTGATTAATCTAGAAATTCTTTACAATACGTCGGATGACGCACATGTTTGAAAACAATGAGTCCTTTAGCAAAATCAATGAGCCATGTAGCAAAATAAATGCGTCTTAGCAGAATTTTTTTTTTATAGAACATCCTTGACATGATTTGCATGTTTTTATAACAAGCGATTAAATAAAGTGTATAAAAAAGTTATTTTTGGTACTAATATTAATTGCAGGCAAAACAATTTTTATTGGCTGCTCAAAAATCTAATTTGCATAATTTATATTTTCTTACTACTTATGTTATCCATTTTAATTGTTCGTAATTTGCACAAAATGTCCCTATCGCACTGTATACATACTGATGACTTTTATTGCTGTGTAGAAAGCATACACAGACAGACCTTTTGATCATGAAAAAAAGTCATGCACAAAGTTTCCCTGATTGGTTAATCACCCTGTCAAATATTCTGATGACGTAATAGACATCTTTTTTTACACTCCGCGTGAACTTGAGTGACCTTAGGGGAATTCAATTTACACAGATCTGTCAGATTATAGAATCTACTGTAACTTACAGCATTTCTTAAAATAGCAACACTTTTTTTTAGTTACCGATATTTATTTAAAATATTAAGTAGATTAATGATTTTTTGTTTGTTTTATTGGATTAAATTTATGGTAGAAGAAATGCTTATCTGTGTGGAAAAGGGATAAGGTAAGTAGATAACTAATGGAAAATGCTATAGGGAAATGGATAAACTCAAGAATATGCGTAATTACAGGGGAATGGGTAACCTGTTGCTGTTGGTACCATTTTCGTCTGGATGACTTATTAACATACAATATAAGTCTGGTACAGATTTTAGATGCACCCTTGGCCCTTTGCTGACGATTTTCCTGTGCCATTCTCATTTTTAGCGCCAATGGCGCAGGCAGATCTCTGCATATTTTACCAATGCAGGCGATTCGCTCTCCTGCAAAATGGACGCTCTGATTGGCTAATGCCGATAATGGGCGGTTACCGATCACAGGGATTTAACGTTTCAAGCAAATGGGGGATCGATCACAGGGATTTAACGTTTCAAGCAAATGGGGGATAAGTTTTGCACAAGTAATCATCGGAAATTAAATTATTCAACTGAAGAAATTGAAAAATTATTCAACTGATGAAATTAAAGTAATCAAACAGTACATAGAAATCACTAATCGTGATATTTTTGATTATAAACCACCTGATTTGCACGCGTCAAATTGAACGCACTTATTTTGAAACTGTGCGTCTTTTTCGATTTTTATGCGTATTTTACACAAGACGCACATCTAGATTAATCACTGTAGTCTCAATACCTCTTTTCCTAGTCCTAATTATAAGACCTATACGTAACCTATTTCATATTTATCATTCAATAATCTGATATTTTACATTTTTCATTTTCCATGTTACGTTAGGTCTTAACAGATCTTTGCAAAATCGTGTAGCAAAAAAAATGACATTAGACATCGAATTAGATCTAATGCATTTAAACAATTAAAACAGCGTGTATTTACATTAATTTTGACCTAATTATGAACAAAACTAAAAAATAAATACCTTTTAACAAAATAATTAAACTGTCACATCCGAAAAGTCATGATTAAATCCTCTCATTTAATTAAATACCTTGTACAGCCGATATACAAATGGCCGCCATACAGTGCACGAAATCTGATTGGCTAATTCAAATGCAAGCGTTTAAATGAGTGCAGAAGTTTCTAACGGAATAATTTTTCAAAGAAATAATTGCCCATGCACCGTCAGTAAGAATATATTTTTCCGTTCAAAAAATTGGAATCAATCTGTAAAACGCTTTACTTAACCAGTATGGTCGATGAGCGAAATAGATTGATATTTATATTTTATTTTTAATTGACAAGTACATTGTTTGAAAGTTTTTAATGATAGACCATGCAATTGAAAGAACAGAAGATAGGCTTTTGAATAAAGCTTGAAAGGCAAGTCAACAGACATTTTTTTAATTTTTCAAAATGCTACGCGTTTATGAGCAATAACTATTAGACGTCAGGCTTGACCAACATAAAACTATAACAAGCCTGTAACGTCTAATCTATTGGACTACTCTTTTCCTAAATTTTTATGGTTAAAAAGTTACTGACAAAGTTCAATGATTCTTCAAAAATAATAATAATAAATTGTTCTTTTAAGCAGCAAAAGCTTTATGAAAGGGACAATATTTCGGTCCAAAAACTGCATAAAAAACTCAATGCTTTGTTCAAATAAATGATGTCCAAATTATACAAAGTCTTCAAAATAGCTGAAAATGACTTTTCAGATGATTTGGCAAGGAAGGCAGCTTCAAAACATTTTCCATACTTGCGGGTATATGAATTATTTATTTATTTATTCAATGCACAATAAAATAACTCACGATTTTCAAAATTAATTTGCAATTTAATAAGTATGTTAGCTGAAATTCAGACCCGCACAATCACAACGTCTTATGTTAGGAATGTCAGACGTTTCACTCCCAAGACATTTCACTATTGAGACGTTTCACTCCCAAGACGGTTCACACCTAGACGTTTCACTCCCATTTTGGCAATTGTATGGACGTTTCACTCCCATTTTTTAGATGTTTTTATTAAGAAAATTTATTTTCATTATGAAGGGGAAATTCAATTTAATGATTCATTTTGTTGAATTTGAGAGTATTGTTAAGAAGAATTTATGAATTTGAAGAATGATTATAAAAGTATAATTTTTCTGAAATATAACAGAATGTGTAAATAATTATGATCTATATAGATACAGTATAGTATCAGCTCAGAAAAGTGAATTTTGTTCTGTTTAAACAGTGTTTTGAAGAATTCCTGTTAATTATTAGGAGTAAAAATGTTTCAATGAGGACATAATTATGATGAATTATTAGAAGATTATCATTATACACATTTAAATATGGATTGAATGGTAAGAGGTATAAATGAAAGACAAATGTCTGAAATATCGTTTTTATTATAAGAGTAACAATTATGTAATAAGAGTAACAATTAACATGAGAAAATTCTATTTATTATAAATCAAGAAAGATAATAGAGTAACAAAATGAAAATTTTCATGAACATAGACACATTGTAAGTACTAGTTTGAATATTGAAACCACTACCAGTACAGTAATTAAATAATATCAATATATAAAATATATTTATTAGTTTTTTGGTAAATATATTTATCAATGAAATGCAGAAAATGTGCATAAAATTAATTATTCTTTTAAATTATTTCTTTATCAAAATATTGAACAGCAGCCATTAAACAAACTTAGGTAATTGTGGTGTTAACAGTAATCTCATCACCTAATTAGTTGTATAAACACTGAGACCACCAATTAACAGTTTGACATCACTATTAAATTAGTTGTATAAACATTGCACTTTAGCATCAACAGTTATTAATTAGTTGTTTATCGGACCATTGAAATATTTTTAGACAATGTTTAGCCAATTAAAACCAAAGTCATGGAAACAGAAACTCCTCCATAAGTTTTGGTTATAAATTGTAACAAAAATAAAATAATATTTAATCAGATAATCATATCTAATATATTATGTAAGATTATCTACAGATTTTTTTTTACTTATTGATATTAAAATATACTTAATGCAAAGATAATCACTTATAAATTATTATCATTAACATATTTAAGGAACTACAACTTTCATACAATTATATCCGGTCATATATGATATCGTTCCCTAAATAAGAATAAATATCTGAAAAGATATCAGATCAAAGATCTCTCTAATCAAGTAAAAAAAATAAAAAAATAAACTTTAACAATTATGACATACAAACTTTCATTTTTAGTACAATTAAGGTCTATTGTAGTATATCATACGCATCAAAATAATTTTGGTGTAAAATGGGAGTGAAATGTCTTCAAGACGTTTCACTCCCATTTGGGAGTGAAACGTCTTGGTGTGAACCGTCTTGGTGTGAACCGTCTCAATAGTGAAACGTCTGTCTACCTTATGTTATAGGACTAAAACAGTTTCAAATCAGATGGCAAAATTAAATGCCATTTAATTTCACTGTAATGGTTGAAACAGATGGTAAAATAGTACATTCTGTATAGGTTAATAACAACACAGTAACTACTAAGTCAAGTGAATCTGTCAGTACTAATTGATATTGATTTAATTAATTTTGATTTTGTAAACATATAAAATTATATCGCGAAATCATATGACAATATATTTCATAACATACGGTGTTATCTAATAAACTAGATTGCAATAAAATATGGAAACTCCGATTGAACTTCAATTGCTTAACATTACTACACATATATTAATTCATGTTTACCTGGTCTGTGACCTCAACATCGATAAATGTGGGAATGCTCATCGTGAGCAAGCCGGATAAAATGGCGCACGTGTCTCTTGTTCTTGTACGACACTGAATATTTTTCTGCGGTCCGCTTTTTTGTACTATCAATTAAACTGCATCACACCGTCAATGCAGGATTCTAGCATAATTTTTAGGATGTTACAAAGTTGTTTTTAATTACATTCCAATTAAAGATATGGTTCAACTCAATGAAAATTTAATATAGAAAATTCTCACTCGAACCAGAATTCTTGCGTTATTTTCACTGAATATACACGATGTAGATTAATCAATAAAGCGTAACACTATTTTTTTCAGTCTTGGGTTAATTTAAAAATCCCTTTTTCTCTTATTAAATTTTACCAATCAATTAAAACGTATTTTGTCATACATTTTCATTTAAAAACAGCCATAAAGAAGTATTTTACTGCAAAAATGATTATTTTTATATTGACCCTAATGTGAAAAATGGATCTTGAATGAATTGGATAGCAATGGTTGCTTAAAGATGCATATTTAAGTGAAAACAGGATTTTGGGACAAAACCGGCCATACCCATGAAATTGGGATTTTTATCAATGTTTTGTTAAAAATCGGGAAAATTGCTTTACTGAAATTTTTCAGTGATTAAATGAAAGCAATGATGGCATCTTCAAACATTTAAGCACCATAACAGTGAAGAAGTCCTTATTTTCAAAGATTTTAGAATTTTTTATTCAATATTTTTATTTTGTAACTGCCAGTGCTTTGGGAACTTTTTCCTAAGGATTGGGAAAATAGTATACTATTTTTAATTGGGAATATGACCCAATATTGGCTATAAAATAAGCCAGATAAATCCCTGGAAAAAAAACTTTGTAACATTTATGTAAGTCTGTTATTATTTGAATATTAAACAAAGAAACCATCAACAGAAATACATTTTCCTACATATTTCAATTTGCCTAATACATATTCAGTACCTCATGGCAGACTTTATACTGTGTAATGGTGTGCTCATTTTTTTAAATGTTGCAATTTCAAAAAAAAAATATAAAAAAATCACCTACCTACCTCTCTTGAAATTAGGGTCGGAGCTCTACAAACAAAGATTTTTTAAGGATTGCCTTATCAGGGAGCTGGGAAAGCAATTGCTCATGAAAGTAAAAATCAGTGTCATAGTAAATTGCTTGAGTGCTGTCTGCTGCATATGACCCATTACGTGAAGAATAAACTATCTAGTGTAAGACAGTGAACATGACAATGGTGTTGATAAACATTGTTTGCAAAATAAACTTATCTTCAATTCAATTTAAGCCTTGACCCCTGTTGGGTTTCCTATCATAAAACTCAGTCAGTCGCGGATATTTACACGTGCCTTCAAACTGTAATATATGTGTTAGAAAACCTGCTCAGTAAAGATATTATTGGACATATGCGTCTCGTCTTGGTGGATTTAAAGTTAGATGTTGAAATGCCCCCTCGTAAAGGTTAACACCCTATATAAAGATCCTATGAATGTTTTCTCGAATATTCTGCAAACATCACTTTGACCATACAGCAGTACATTATATGTCAACCTTGTTTAATTTAGATAATTATATTATAAATTACATATAGTCATTACTGTTAAATTACAGCTATACTTACCAATTAGCATTTTTTAAAATTTACCCTTCAAAGGCTTCATTTTTTTTTTATTTTTTTTTTTGAAAACATCTAGAATCGAAATCTGTACTCTATGCATGCTATATGGTCTGAAAAGGCTATTGAACGTTCGTCATATTTGATTTACTTAGTTCATGCCTAACAGTAACTGTTGCCAAATGGCCAAACATATAAAGGGTTCGAAGTTAAAGGTTTACAAACTAATTGATCTTACCACAGAGCTATCTGTCATAAAAGTCTCTGATCTTACAAAAGTAGATTATCGAGACAATACACCAAAGTATTAAAGATAATACTAATGACTTAAGATCTCATTTTCAACATGGTCTTCAAACAACCAAGTTGAGAATATAAAAATAGTCATGAGCAAAAAAAAATTAGCATCCAGAACGTACCAAACTTAATTTGGAATATATTTAAAATCGTATTTTTGTGATTGTGCTATCCTTAGGGATAACTGTTAGAACTTGAAAAACATGGAGTGAGCGAATGAATGATGTGAAATTTTGCATACAAGTCCAGAGATACATCAAATGGAACATAAATCACCAAAAATTATTTTCAGTCCGGCAATGTAAAAAAAGCAGCAGCATGAGTCCTTTTAATTTTAAATAAAGTTTCAAGTTTCAATTTTTTATTTTCAACTAGGCCCATATTGACATGCGTGATAAACATAACAAATTCCTCAAACAACTGAGCATTAATAACAACATAATACAAATGTGTAAATAAAGTTTGTAGACAAACTAATTTTCATGGTAAATTTTAAAATAAGGCTACTGAGTATGTATGAGAACAAAATAATTTAGTGGTATTCACATGCCTCGAGTGTTCAAACTATTTAGTCGTGTAAACCATCGTTTATTGACAATTTTCACATTAGATAAAATTTACGAAGTGCTAGGGATTGTGGGTAATTCATGGCTGCCAAACAAATCTTTTTAAATTTATGTTTCGATATTAAGCAATCTTATCGTTAGTATACAAATGAGTGAAACAGGCGACATTGAATGATAATTGTTAATTCCTTTTTTACCGAGTTAACATACATGTAAGTTCCGAAAACCTTAGTTTACTCTTAAAATGGCTTATAAATAACGATATTGTTCAAAATTATAGAAAATAACATGACAAGTCATGAATAATTACTCATACTATATGCACAGGTGCTTGTCCAGTCTTGGTGCCCGTACACCAGCACCCCTCCCCCAAAAAAAACAACAACAAAAAACAATGCAAAAAAGAAAGAAATAAAACAAAGACCAAAAAACTTATGTGATAAATGAAAGTTCTAGCCGTACAACTAGCAAGGACACACTGTATTGGCTAGCAGTACGGCACTTTTCAAAATTATATAGAAGTCGAAAATGCATATATTATTTTATGACTAAGCGAGGATTTTAACCAAGAAACAGCAATTGTTTTTGTATGTTTACTTTTTAGAGATTAATAGGGAAAAGAGTCAACTCGGCCCTATACCAACTCGGCACGGGTCAACTCGGCCCACTTTACAAAAATATATATAACTATTAACTTTGCTTTGCATGTTGTTAAGGTAAATGAATAATGAGAAATATCTTATTATTATATAATTATACATTATACTTCTTCTGAAATAAAGTATATTTAGAAAAAAAAGGTTTTCTGTCTTGCAGATTCGATAAAATTAATATAGATCTAGATTCTAATAAAATGTGTTTGTAAAGTAATATTTAAAAAAATATGAAACAAAAATGTGTTTAATTAATATCATAAGCTTCTAATTAAATCTTCCGTATAAGCGCATTGATTGCTGCCGAAATTCATTTGCACGTGTCATACGTTTTTTTTCTTCTATCAAATAGAAAGACCTTGTCTGTGCATTATCTAGTTAAAGTAATAAAGAACAGAACAGAAGTTAAATATGTAGAAATACAGTGAGATTACGCAATCGGTTATCTTTACTTGCAATTATACTGATAAGAAAAGCTTGTCTGCTGCTAGTTCGAAACTGTCAATCCGTGTATTATAAATAATTACAATAATTACAATAAATAGTGTTAACACAAACCTAAATATTGATTATTGAAAAGTGGGCCGAGTTGACCCGTGCCGAGTTGGAATAGGGCTGAGCTGACTCGGGGGCCGAGTACGTTTTAGGGCCGAGCTGACCCGGATTCGATTAATAGCCTTGTTGGCTTTCGATCTTTGCAGAGCTCCAGATAATTTTTTTGGCCAAGGGGTTTTTACCTCTCAAAATTTAGAGTGAGGGGTAAAATTCAAATTCTGAAAAACTTAAGGGGTAAAATCTGTCAAAAAAGCATTTTGCATTTTTTATAAACAAATTAAACTGATTGTTTTTGTTTGTTTGTTTATTTTCTTTTTTTAGAAAAACCTTTAACAAATAAAATACTGATTCAATGCAAAACAATACTATTGTTTCACATGTGAATACAAAACATGCCCTGCAAAGTCAGACTCCCAGAGTATACTGGAACTCAAGTTTAGGATACACAGCAAAATTATCAGGCTTCCATTTTCAAAATTTGGAAGTCAAATACATTAAAATCTCTGATATTGGAAGTCACATTATATAGGTAAAGAAGGAAAAGTATTAGATTTTCGGAAGTCACAAGCCAAAATGAAGGAATAAATGACTCCCAAACTTCCACTAGTGGAAGCCCTGAAATTATTTTTATTTTCTAGGAGTCCATATTTTTTCTTTCTTTATTTTCTGTTGGCATGTACCTTATCATGTACTCCAGTTTTTGAACAGTTATAGTTGAAATTATAATTAAAGAAAAATAAACAAGATTTTTTATCTTTCCTTAAAAAGGTATTGGTCTCAGACAACTCTGAGAGAAAATTGTCCGTAACTGTAGACTGGGTACGAAAAAATTGAGTACAAAACTGCAGGTGAAAAACATGTTATTTTGTTCCAACAACAAAAGTGAAAGAAATTAAAAATATATTTTTGTTATAATATTGAGGCATAAGCATGTCAATAGATGCCTAAACAAACAATACTATGTTAAATCCTATGATGATTAGGCTGGCTAATTTCACAGGTTGGATCTACGAGAGTTATCTCCCTTCTGTACTTCCTGTTACTTTCGTTTTTAACATGCGTTGTTGACAACAGAATTTTTAGTTTTCAAAGCAATAAAATGGAAATATATTGATTTTTATGCTAAAAACATCCTCTTTCTAAATATCAAATGTTTACACTTCTATTCTTTCACGCTTAAATTTTGACATACAAGCGTATTTTCATTTTGTTGTGCGTAACTTTGACGCATGGATTTTGAAAGTGATGCGTATTTTAGATTTTCAATGCGTATTTTACGCTGATACGCACGCTATCTGGAGCTCTGCTTTGTCATCTCAAGATGTCGAGAAAAAGTAGCTTTTGGTTGCATTTAAATAACACCAATTGAAATAGTTTACAAAATTTTATTATAATCTTTTTTTGTTTCATTAAGTTTAATTTTCTAC